CAGTTGTGCCATCATCCCTTCCCTTTAAAATTGTTTTTTGTTGTTTCAGTTTATTATCACAATTTTTTTGAATAACGGTATTTGTATATCATAAAGAGTTTATTAAGTTTTTTTCTCGAAAAAATGTTTTAAAGGTATGGGTAGGGTAAGCCCAAGACTGGACGAGCACCTGTGCCCATTTGTTTGAGCACCAGTGTTATGCGTGCAAATTTGGACCAAATAGGGACCAGAAGTCCACTGATTATAACTGAACGGGAACATACTCGATAACAGTAGCAACTTGTTTTTGTAAAAACGAATATTGTTTTCTCAGAAATGATTCGAAATCTATTCTCTATTGTATAAAACTAATAAAGAAAATAATCAATCATAAAAATACTAACATTGGCTCTCACATGGAGATCAATCTATCATACTGAAGGGAAACAAGTGTGCACATTTCATTTCCACTTTTTCTGCAGAGAGAGTCATTTGTTTTGTTTCATTTATGTAGCAGCTTTAGAGACAAGTAAATGCACTAAAAGACTTTGTTACATGGTACCAATTAATAAACATGTATCAACTATGTTACACCTAAAATATCTATGATCACTGATATACCGACAATACAGAAGATCAGCACGTGGTAAGGTTAATGATATGCATGTGCTATTTTTTGATTACCTCATCTCTGTCAGTAGATCTAAATATAACTTGATCATGCACTAATATTCTGCGTGATTCTGTCGCCCTTTAGAGAATGAATACTACTACAGTAACCATTCTCTTTCGTACAAAACTAATAAAGACAAAAACTAATTATAAAAGAAACTAACTTTTGCGTCTTGAAAACGAATTGAAAAGGAATCAAGTAAAAATAGAAATCCTATTTATATAAACAAACTGGGATTACCGAAGTAACTAAAATAGCTTAGATTTCCGTAAGATTCCGCAGTTTGACGGAATCGCCCGAATTGTCACGATTGCAATCGGAACTACCTAGGCTATTATCATTTATCCGAAGAGTGACTGAAAGGGCCGAAAGTTGCAATTGGCACGATTGCAGCTGGTTTCCCGTTCAATCATCCACAAACAAATGTAAGCAGGAAACCACCTAACCGGAACAACTCTTCCGAAACAAATGGTTTGCTGCAAGCCAAAAAACTTATTTAAACCCCTGCCAGGTCTGTTCATTTTGTGAAAAATAGCATAATATTTCAAGAAATTGTGAAAAGGGCAATTTTGACAAACAAAAATGGTTTTGAACTATACATGTATATTAATTCATAGAACTAGCTAATAAACTAATCATGTACATGTGTAATTAATATCTCTGTTAATAATTTTAGCTTCTTGTCCTTAGCATTTTTAAACGGAAGTGGCTAGCCGTATGGGCCCGTACGGCTAGAACTAAAAATATGGATAGCCGTACGTGAGTCACGTACAGCTAGCCAGGACACACTGTATTGGCTAGCTGTACCGTGCTTTTCAGAATCAAATCAATGTGAACATGAATCGTTATTTTATGTCAATAAACAGAGATTTGTCAAAGAAAAAATATTAATTTTGAATGTTTCTTTTTTATATGTTCGTACATTTTGCTTGAAAGAAATCAAACTTCAAATTTAAATAAAAATAAACCTTTGTCATCTTCATGTTTCTTTGATCGGTGATGTTTTATTTATTGCTTGTTAAAAGACTGATATTTTAAAATAGACAATTGTTAAGATTACTTATATATTATAAGCTTTTTTGTTTCTATTTGTCATTTGTACATGTACATTTGATTAAGCGATTGATATTTAATGATCTGGTTGAACATAATAGAACTCTCACTTTTCCTATAATTTTGTACTGTATGTATTCTAAGTTATCAATAAAGATATTTTGTAAACAAAGCTGATTATTATTATTAGTTGTCAATAAAGAAATTTAAGAATAAAGGATATGTAAGTTATTCACAATAATCTAGGCAAAATAGCTTAACTAAAGTGATGATCAATATGATAAAATTCGATAATTAAGAGTTTCACAGAAGATGCAAACTTTCATATTGACCAGTAAACGTCCACTGTCAGTATTTAAGGCAATTAGCAGAACCCTTTAACAATTATTTTCGGCGCATTTTCAAGGTCTGTACAATTTATATATGGACGATATACATATTGTTTCATTTATCAAAAAAATGAAAAAACATTTTAAAAGATGCATTTAAGCACATAAAGATGCATTAGTGCACAAATAATGATTTTAGTTGGTTCGTATATTTTGTTATCAAAATGGTCGAAAAAAATAAAAAAGTAAACATCTGAAATTGATATTGTTTATTTGACAAATATCAGTATATGTGCATAAAATAAGGCATTAATCATCAACACTGATTTGATTCTCCAAAGTGACGTACGGCTAGCCAATACAGTGTGTTTTGGCTAGCCGTACATAACTCACGTATGGCTAGCCAAAAGTTCTAGCTGTACTGGCCTGTACGGCTAGCCACTTCCTTTTTAAATATCTCAGTCCTTATCATGAATAGCAATTTACTCTCACAAATGGTATTCAGTAGCTGAGGATCTTTGTTTATTTGTGAATTTTCATTTACATTGTGAATTTTTTTCTTCACCTTTGTGATAAAAGTGAAAACATAGAATTTTTACTTGTGAAGGGGCCCAAGACCAGCCACTGTCTTATAGCAAAAAAATGCCCTGAAAGAAATAAATAATAGATTGACTTGGAAGGTTTGTGTGTGTCATATTACAGGCAAACTTTTTTATTTTGTGTATACACAATTTCCTGAAATATTACACAAAATGAACAGATCCGGCAGGGGTTTATATAAAGATTTTACTTGTACTTGCACGAAGGCCAGTGATTTTGCAGAGAAAGCAGGTTGCCTGAACTTGAAATTTATGCTTATAATTGATTAAAGTAAAATACACATTTTAAATATTTAAAGCAAATATGCATTATATTTACACTTTTTTACATGTCAATAGAAAATAAGCAACATAATGATAAGATTTCATTTTTGCAAGAAAACAAGCATTGGCCACTTCTTCACAAACAAGGTTTGTTTATGGTAACTAATAACTGTCTTTTAACTTACATGTATTTAGTCATTATTGCAAATGAATATCAGGGTTTGACACATACTGTTTGCTTCTTTTAAAGTAATTTATTTAATCAACTTAAGTTTTGATTATGCTGAGCTCCATACACTTGTTAGAGTGAGTGTCTTTCACAATAAGATAAATTAATGCTTCTGTGAATAATGTCACAGTGATTCAGCAAAAAATTGTTTCCATTTGTTTTCTGCATGACTCGTGTGTATGCAGTATATTAACACACACAACCTTTTCTTATCCAAAAAATTATGTCAGAATTAAATTCTGATATTCAGAAAGAATGTGTGAATGTCACAGCCTCTTTGATGATGTGTAATGTAAGCTATGACGAAAGATCAAAGACCGGCATATTCTTTTGAAGAACCTCTGCTTTGCACCAGTCTGTGGTCAGCTCATGTGTGAGATTTACAAAATATTCTCTCATAATAAGGTTTTTACTAATTTGCAGCATCCAGTCATTATATTTTAATAAATGAATTGCATGCTGGATATAATTTTGTTTAAAACAATGCTAATGCTTGTGAGCATTTTCACTTTTTTGTGTGTGATGGAGTTATTGTTAATATCAATAAGGAATGGTACCTTGTAATTTCTAGGTATGTAAAATGTGTTAACATGAATTTAATTTTTATAATCTGTCATTTATCAAACAATGATTGACAATGGCAGAGTCCAGTGTGTAACGTTACAACATCCAACAGAACAAATTTTATCGTAAAAACAATTTCTTTGTTTGTGAAAAAGCGCTACATTGTTAAACTCTCAGTATTTGAATTGTTTTTTTTTTTTCAAACTATTTGATTATTCATACAAATTACATCTATAAAATTCTTCTCTATTCATATTGAATATATTCATCCAGGCTGATTTTTAAGGGATCCCTTTTTAGTGTCTTACGCTGAATGTCACCTAACCAAGAAGTACCCTTACATATACTAGTAGCTGACTACTGGTTGGTAATAACATCAGATTTTAGTGCTGCCACATACCTTTATCAAATCATTTCATGATTTTTAAAATGTTTAAATTGACATAATCATGATTAAGAAACATTTTTAACAAACAGATGTTTTGATTATACATTACCAGAAATATTAAAGTTACATTAAATAAATTTCATAAAAAAGAAATAGCAACATTTCATTAATAAATTGGGTTTCATATCGACTCCTGAGATCTTATTTTGGTGTCCAGACAACCAAAATGGGTTTAATGAGCATACAAATGTGCAACCTCATTGTGGCGAGAAACTCCGCCTTCAGATCATCCGTACATCAATATTAAATCAACAAACATGACTATAAGTAGCAGTCCTAATTTAACGGTATATTTCCGCATTGTAACGGATATTTTCATACAAATTAAATTTTTTTTACGAGATGATTATTTTTTCTGAACCACAGGCCTAGTGCACCGTGAAGCTTTAAAACGGTAAAAGTGTGTTTGCACAAGAAAATCTTATATTTGCTGTGTTCCGGATTGCAACTATAACACCGTGACGTAGTGCATACACGAGCTGATTACAGTCCTCATTTGCATGTTAAAATTCATATAGGAACTTTAGTGTTACCGTGGGGTTTTCCATTTAAAATCCTAATTTATGAACAATATTTAATGAGATTTACAACAATACTGTTAAAAAGGTTAATGAAACTGTAGAATGCTTGGTTTTTAGGCTGACGGCAAAAATATTTTAACATATTTATTTAATGTAACTTTAAAGAGGGCCGAGTTGACTTGGCAGAGTTTGTAAAGAGCCAAGATGAATGGGGGGAGGGGGGGGCTGAGTATGTGTTAGGGCTTAGCTGACCCTGATTCAATTTTTCCTAACTTTATTTTAAAATGATTTTTACTTAATGATTGTTTTCTTTATTATTCATATTGAGTGTATTTTTTATTAGTGTGACTTTTGATCATGAGGAGAAAAAGAATTAAAGATGAAGAATGGATACAAAAGAATAATGAGAAGATGGAGCAAGAAAAATTTGAAATTGCTTTCATTAATGAAGATATAGGTGAGTAATTTCCATGCACTAAAACGTTTTACTGTTGAACTTTTATCTTTGTACTCAGATAAACACATTATTCAGAGCCCTGATTTTTCTGCCGCCTCTACGGAGATTTGGGGACATACAGGGATCACTTCTCCATTGTCTGTCTGTCCCTTCATCACAAAACTTGTCTGGACAACTCCTCAAAAAGTACTGTGTAATTTCAACCAAACTTTACCGAATGATCAGTACCAAGCCTTGTTGTGCATATCATTGGCATTTTCCGGTTTAATGTTTTTGGCAGAGTTTAATGATGGCCCTGTAATGATTTTTATAGGACTACTCTTATACCACCAATGCAATTTCAATGAAACTGAACAGGATTGATCCAGAGCTCCAGATAAGCATCATTTTATTGTTAAAACAAAATAATATAAAAATAATTTTCTCCAAAAACAAATTGAATTTGAAATGCTGTCATTCAAAACTGAATTGATTTTCAATTTCATTTGTTTCAAAATCAGATAAAGCTGCTGAAAATGAAAGAAACCGTTTTCTGATCGTAATATTTACTGTGTTTTATTTTGTCAGAGTGGTATTTTAACATAACCACAACACCGCATTTGTTCAGTTTTGTCAAGTGCTAAGAGTGACCTCCCTTCCTTTTCAACGAGCAGAAAAATAACAGACAGTCAGACAGCATGTTTTTTTTTGTAAAAAGAAACTGCAATTTGATGAGGAAATGGTGCATGAAATTGAGTATGAGTAAATAGCTAATGTTATGGTTTCTAGTTGGAAAATGCGGAAAATGCTTTATGTAGTGGACTAAACACTACAGAAAAGTTACTTCAGTTTAACTGAGCTTTTCATTGCAGATGGTGTAGGTGTTGACAAAAAGAAAAACAAACAAGAACAACAAAAAACAAACAAACAACAAAGAAAAAACCAATTGAAAATTAAAAAAGCAAAATGAAATTTTATATCTGGTAGTGAAAAACCTAATTGCTAAAAAAATCAAGAAGTTTAAAGATATACTTTGCTCATTTAGTAAATTATTTTTTAATTGCAGAAATTTATTGAAATCTATGAAATACTTACTGACTATGCCTAATTTGCGTAATATAATGCAGAAACTGTGTATGATGGAAACAGCATTTCCAATTACTAGCCAAACAAAGTTGGCCACTTCTTAGAAAAACTGCCAATGTTTTTAATTGCAATATGTAGTCATATTGTGTCTTCCTGTAGTGTGCAGAGTTCAAAACATTATACATAATGATATTCTGTGTGTACTCAAAACATGTTAATTTGACCTTTACAAAGAATTTGTGTTGGAATTATCAATATTTTCAAATATCAAATTTAAGCCTAATACATCTTCAAGCTAATTGTATAAATATTATCTGGAGCTCTGTTGATCTGTAGCTCAAGTACCTGTGCATATTACTCTGGTTGAATGAAGTTTGACCTAGTTATGGCCCCTGACTAAAAATGGTGTTTTTTGTGTGTTGCCAGCTACACATAATCTTGTCCCGGACTACTCTGAAACTACTGGTTGAATTTCATCAAAACTAATCATTGATCTCATTAAGAAGTGTGTGCACAAAACCCGGTACTCTGTACTTCACAATTTTTGAGTAATTGCCATTTTGTTAATTTTAATACTTTATTTTTATCCATGGTATGGACTTGAAACTTGAACATAGGATGATGTCAATGTAATTGACAAGATGTGCAGTTCATAAGAACTTGTACTCTGCACTATTTGATTTTTGAGTTATTGCCCTTTGTTAATTTTCATACAGTTCAATCCTGTTTATTCAAAGTGCCTAGGACTGAATATTTACTTCGAATAATCGAATGGGTTCAAATAATTGAAATGGGAATATTGTGATAGACGAAAACTACTCCACTTTGACCAATCATAGCAAAACTACCTTTTACTTTACACACTTACTTCCTGTAATCAAGAAAAATTAATTTTAAAGAAAAGATGTGTAAAAATTATTGTATTGACATTGAAGACATAAATACTTGCATATTGCTGTCATCTTCACGCAATAACAGTAACAAAATCGGACACAGAGCATTGCTTTATTTTCATTTTTGGTAATTAAAGTTGATTAAAGAACACACAAAGTGTTATTATCATGATTGTGTAAATACAGGCATTACTGTGGATATTTTTCAAAAGTCGACCGGTCAGCGAGTGGATCTGGGCCAATTTGTCTGGCTTTGAATAATAATTAGCCTGGCTTCCAATAATAGGTGTGAAATTCTTAAATAATCATGTATAATTGGGACCGAAATTTAACTTCGAAAAATAGGAGGTATTCGGATAATGCATTTTGAATAATACGCTGGTATTTATATTTATTTATATAGAGATAAAAACGGGACCGCCGATCTTCTTCAGATAATGCTGGGTATTCGAATAAAGGGTTGTTGAATAATCAGGGTTGGACTGTACATATAATTTAAACAGGCTTTTCTAGAGTATAACTTGGTCACTATACTTTTTCTTGACTCCATATTTGGTATATCCTGAAGTGCAGTGTACAATACTGTTTAAATTTCTAAAGCTGAAACATCTTAAACTGTGAATTACATTAGGCCAGATAAAAAAAAATGTGTAGTAATTACTGGTTGAACAGGCTTTTATTGCTTAATTCATGGCAATTAGAGGAATACCATGATATATTCTATTATTATTAAAATATTATTAGTTAATTGAAAGTTGTAACAATTATTTTAATGAATATGATCATGTAAAGAATTATGAACAAAGCAAGCAGTATTAGGTCATATTCTTAAATAAAGTTCTAAAAAACCTTTAAAGAAATGTTTCTTGTCATTTTATTGATAAGTCCATTTTTTATATATACATTTTAATTAGTATCAATAAACAATTGACAGAAAAGAATAAACTACGCTTGAGTCTTATCATACATCAATATCATTTCTACCAATGACAGCACTAAATTTGATTGCAAATTAATATGTTTAAACTGTATCATATATACTGATGTACTGATGTTTTATTTAACAGGTAAAGGTGTTTTTGCAAAAGCACCTGTAGAAAAAGGAGAGCTTGTCATGGAATACAGAGGTTTATTGTCACCTGCTGATAACGATGCCCCTGATGCAACTTATGTGTACTTTTTTCAACATCAGGAGAAAGAGTATTGGTAAAAGTTTTATTTGAATACACGGTGATTAGAATAAGCACTTGCTGATGATCATTTTTGCTGTCTAAAATTGCACAAAGGAAATTCATAAGCTATCCTTATGATGTGGTTCATGCATAATCTCTCAGAATTAGTATCTTTTTAAAGACTGGGTATTTCACTACAAAAGAAATGGAATTTGAGTAACGTGTATCTGCTGCCATAACGTTTACCTCCGTATGTGTATATACCTGATTGAATGTCCACATAGTAGGTTTATTGTTAATGATAACAGCAGTGCCATAATACATTACCATTGAAATGATGTTAATCATAAACAGAGACTTTTAAAAAAAATTTATTGCATGCATATAAAGAGTGAAACATTAACATCAATGACATTAATTCATATCAGTGCTGTGAATTGTATTTATCAGAAATAACATCGGACAAAAACAAAAAAAGCATGTTTGTCAACCAGAAGTACATATTAATGTATGCATTTGTTATATAAAGGAGCATTAATTTTACAGATGTTATCATATGTATGTTGATACCTCATTTGATCAATATCTCTGTTTATTATCAATCCATCACCTTTAATTTTTTAAAATTGAATCATAATTTAGTTAACTAACTGTTTAAAAATCAATGAAGACTTTCTATAGGGTAACGTCACTTTTACAAAGTGTCAATTACACATTATGACCGTCAATTAAAAATACAATGAAACGTATGAACCAGAATGACAACATCGCCGATCTTTGATCAGTCAGAAGTTTTCACACTTTGACTTATTGAAATGAAAATATGTTTGACTTTAATTGACGGGACTATAAACTCCCTTTGACTAACCACGAGTCTCGGTAAGTCAAAAGTTGACCTATACAGAATTGAAATATATAGATAAAGAAGGAAATTTGACAGGACTTTAGAAACTCTTTGACTAACACAGAATTTTGAGCAAAGTGATTTATAGTTATTTTTATATATTTTATACATTTATTTTCATTATCTAAAAATGAGTACGTATCAAATATTTAAACACCGCTTTCAATTTGCTGCAGCATCAAGAAAAAAAATCAAAATTTGATTTTTATGGCACAGTTTACAGTCCAATTGCATCAAGGTATCAACTTAAAGACAATTAAGTGGCTAGTTAGTGGCAATTCATGCCAATTTTAATGTAAGCTTTCGTCTTGAAATTACAAATTCAGTTTTTATTTGTCACATAAATCTTAAGCGTTTCAGAATATGATAAATGGACATGCAGGGACTATATATAAAATAGCAGCTTGCAACTTTATTGATTTTCACACCTTTCATGTATTAAGAAGGCTCCTGAATTGCAAATCTGTAAAAAAATTAATCCTGACAAACATGTCCGCTGTAGTTACAAAATATGACAGATTTGAAAATATACCAGCAAAGTCTGATGTGTCCAATGTTATTTTGAAAACACTATAAGGGATTCTTTTGCATATTGTGAACTATTTTTGGTAATTTAGGTCAATTGTTATTGTTGTCTCTGATTTAAAAATTACTTTCTATGTTCTCTTGACAATACATGTATTTCACAAAAATTACCGTGAATCTTTAGGCATGCTACTTTAATAGTTCACTACTATATACATGAGTTTGTACAAAATTCATGACAGCCAAATATAGTGGCGAAAAATAAGACAAAAATTGCAAACAGATCAGACAAATACCAAGATATATTTTATGACTAGCAAACATTCAAAATAAAATATTAATAAAGTTGACAGCCATCGAGTTTTACCAAAGTTAAACTTTACATTAATTGTTCAGTACGTTACTCCGATGACTGCTTCCTGGAAACTGAGCAGTACTCTTACATCACTGCAATTTCTGAAAAATTTGATATAGATACAACAAACTGTAAATAAGGAACACATTTTAATAGACCCAAGGAGTTTCATTACTGTGCATTGCATTGACTTCCATGTTTGTATTTGCATTATCTTACACGACGAATTTATTTGATGTGATAAGATTCATCACAAACAGACAAACTAACCTATTATAGTTATGATTTCATCAATTATATTGTTTTCAGTATTGATGCCACAGACAATGAAAGCATTGCTCGTTATGTTAATGACATAGATTATAAAACCAAACCAAACTGTAAAGTGAAAAAGGTTATTGTGAATGGTATCCCACGACTTGTAATCTTTGCAATTAGGGATATTGCTAAAGGCGTTGAGTTGAGATATGATTATGGATGTCGTGATAACCCTTGGAGAAGTCTGAAGGTAATTTCATTTACTTGCAATATGAACGAAATGCTAAACCGTACTTAGATTTGATTTGATGCACTTTGTTCCTTTAAGTAAAGTGCACTTCAGTCTACTAGTGAGTTATTTACATTGGGTATTGATATATCACGCATTCTCAATATCATTTACAGAATAGATAAAAACGCTTTCCACGCAGCATATTCGTCTTATTATGTTCTATATATTTTATCTGAAGCATCTGTTCCATCAAACATGTTCCGTTTTAATTAAATCAAAACAAAAAATTGGTCAACTGTCATGATTTGAAAAAATATTTATCGTACAATAGTAAAAAATGAAACGTACGTGACTGTCTCTATAAGAAAAAATAACTTTAAATGTTTTCATGTTTCAATTGGTCTTTTATAAAACAATTGTTTGGTGTTTTTTGTATGTCACAATGCTTTAGCGTGAATTTAACAGTGGAGCATACTGAAAACTATGATAAAAATGTAAACAAAATTGTTGTTTCTTCCTTTCCACTGATACATGCCTTTTGGAGTGTGCGTTTTTAAACAGTGAAGAAAATATTTTTTTAAAGATAAGATCTTTCAAAGTTTGAAGTTTTCTGGCTAATAATTGGCCATATTGGCCAAAATAATGTATTATAAAAGTGGTATATAAAGATGCCGTAATTGATGGATGATTTTCTGAGAAAATTAAAACGTAATTTTTGCCGCGAAACGTACGTTACTGGTGCTACAGGAACTGATGAAAATGTAAAGAGGTAGACTTGTGTCAAGCAGTTAAAGCTTCCCTCAATTAGAAGTTATGTGTTGAGAAATTGTTATAATTGCTTAAGACTGTGTCCAGATCTGCATTGAAAAGTGGTCAGAAATTTACGTTACCGAAACGAACGTTACCGCAATTTAAAAAATATTCACTACACTTAAAATATGATACCTTAGGTAAGAAAATTTATATGGAGAGAAGAGATTTATAACATCAAAGCCTAAATAAATATTGCATTGTGTCGCTGTGGATATAATTTAAGGTAAATTCATGTTTGATATACATTATCACATTATATATTAGAAAACATTTTATGTATATAAACATATATCTACTGCAAACATTCTGTTGGATTTTGAGATCTGATAGCATGTTTTTTTCACAATGTAAACAAAGGGTAGTAGTGGAAAGTATATTTCTGCTTAAAAGTACCATGAAATGTACGTTACTGTTGGTAACGTACATTTCAAAACTAGTATTAGTAATTTCAATGAAGAGTATCTCCTGAATCTTAAAAGTTACTTCATGAATATGTTTTTCATGTTATAACAAGTAAGAATAGGATGATTAGAAACGAAAACAAATTAATATAACTGAATTTGCATCAGTAGCATATGAATTTTATTCAGGTATTTTTTCTATCTACAAAAGTTTGGACAAGTACAATATGTGGTTGTTTAAGTTGAACAGTTGTGACGATATTGAACATTTTTAATCTTTTCTTTAGCATCTTCACACTCAAATGTGCATTGTGTATGAACTATAAAGGTCTACAAAACAATGATTTTTCACTTACATTAATATCAACAACAAGTAACGTACATTTCAATTGTAGTAACGTACATTTCAGAGACCGAAATTAAGGGCTGAGATTCAAAACAGCTACAGGTAGAGAACAAGAGCTAAAAGATACCGAAAGTTATCTTTTGAAAGAGCGTTATTTTAGAATTACTTATTACAGAATCCGAAATATTTGACAAACAAAGCGAGAAATGAAAGAAACAATGTTTTATAAAACAAAAGCAAACAATGTTTCATATAAGCAAAGTTTCGTATAAAGTAAATGTTTTTTTCCCGAATTACCTTATTGTGTACAGAACACTGGAATATATTGTAATGCAACAAAATAATCAAGTTAATGTGTCACACTTCTAAAGCATTCATTTTTACATGCATTTCACAAATGTGATTTTGGTAATCATAATGTCTTAAAACATGCGAATTTCTAATGAAAGATATTAACAGGACTTTCGATGAATCATCTTCAAATGTATGTTACTTGCAAAGTTTGCGATAGTAAAACATGTTTTTGTTTGTTTTTGTTTTTACATAAAAATGCAACAAATTTTATCAATTACACCATAATGGGGCTCAAAACATTTCTGGACATTGCTGTAAAATTATCCTCATAACAATGAATAACGTACCATACAAGGATGATCACATGTGTTTTTAGATTAATTATTTTATAAAGTAAAAATGTTTGTTGTTTTAAAAATTTAAAATAGGAAACATTTTGTCCATAATGTTAAATATTAATTGGTGTCTTTATGTACAACACCCATGCCAGAAAACTGAAATGTACGTTACCAATGAGAGTTTACAACAGTCTTTAATAAAGTTTTTAAGAAAGTCTTTAAAAATGCTAAAGATTGATATTTTAAAGCATTTTATCACACACGTATGTTGTCATAAAGGGTTAAATATGCACATATAATGTTGTTTACATTTACTTTTTACCTTATATGAACAGAATCATCAATTAAAATACATCTTATTTCTGTATGCATATACAATATCTTATTCTGACCAAGCGTTGATGATTTTTGTAGTTAATTGTTCAAATGTTTAGAAAAGGAATAAATACCAAACAGAAATATTTAAGTTTTCCCATTCCTGTCAGAATTTCTTAATGAATTCACTGTTGATATTTTTTGTATTAAACTGAAATGTACGTTACAAAATTATCACATTACTTTTAAGGCATTTGGGGTGAAAAAACAACAGCTACATGCATGAATTAGTTTACAACAAGGAGTTTATATGTACCATAAATAGCCAATTACATTGTAATGTCGAACTGCTTTTCATTGATAAATCTGTAAAGAACTTCGAAGTATGCATTGAAATAGTAAAATATGTATCATTTGTCTGTATTTTTTTTATTGTTTTAACATTTCAAAAAAACCTGAATATATTGGTATAATTTAACATAAAATGTGTTTATTTCCATCCTACATCTTTTGAGAAGGGAATTGTGAAAACAAAATTACTGACTAGTTTAACAGTTACATGATTATGAGCTGCTTATTTAAGTGACACTCAAAGTAACGTACATTTCTAAGCCTGTTTTTATAAGAATGACCTGCTCAATTTGATATGGAACTGAGAGAACATGATTCGTATCTTGTTTGCAAGAATTCAAATTTTTGTCCGGGAGATATTCTTTTTTCATATTCAAACATTATTTTTATCATCTCTGAACATTATTTTTTTCCCTTTCCGTGATTCAATATTTGTAAATGGTATTGAGAATGCGTGAGATGAGACTGTTACATCTTTATATAGATAATCATTTACATACAGTTATTTATATCATTGGCACTGATTTTTCAAATATTAAACAATAAAGAAAAGTACATTGGCAACATACTTTCATAAATAGGCAGCCAAACATTTTGAAATTTCTGGCATTCCTGATTAAACTGATGCTTCTACATTATGCGCTCACTTGATGTCCACTTGAAAGTGTTGATAAACAAAGATACATGTATATCAAAGCTATGTGCTTGATACTTTAAAAATTTAAGCAGACAGGTAAAATCATTTTTACTATGTGTTATGTTTTCTTTAGTAATAATATATTGAGTGTATATATAGTGGCAGTTACTTATAAATAATATATTGATGGAAAATCTTTCATTTTTATTGCTACAGAAATCCAGAAAAGGTACTAATATTACTAAATTACTGTTGAATATTGTTGTTCTGTTCAAATCATCCAAACAAATTTATATAAATGTATTATGAAAAAGAGAATCAAAATCAAATAAAAAGTTAAAAAGCTCCTTCTGATGTGTCCACTGAATGGTAATAAGTAGAGACTTTAAATACAATTTCTGCTAGATTTGTTCAATCACCGTGAACAGAGAATTTTGCTGTATATTTGATAATTCATTATAAATTTTGAAAATAATTTTATTTAATGCTTTTTGAAAAGTTGAGTATTATTGTCCATGTCATTACAGAGTGTTGATTTTAAGGATTGAACAGAAAGCTTGATGTTATTTAATAACACAAATCAACTAAACATAAAATTGAGTTGATAAACTGTTCTGAACACTTGCATGATATAAAAAAAAAAACATATGAATATTAAAGCTTCACCATTCCAAATTGATTGGTTATGAAAAACAATTAAGTCATTTAATTATTGTTATGGTAGTTTAGTAAGTATTTTATCGAAGTGATTGGATTATTTTGTGGAATGGGAAAAAAACAAACAATTTTATTTGAAACCAAATTTTCTAAGGCCATCCTTAAAAAAATGTTTGTTTGCAGTAACCCGACCCAGAATTTTCAAGGTGGGTAGGTAGGTCGATTTTTTTTTTTTTTTTTTTTTTTTTTTTGTACTCCCAAATAAACATGGAATTTCAAAATGCTGGACAATATATGCTTTGATAATCTGGTAACAATAAATAAATTGATAAATGAATTCTAATTAAATAATACCTACATTTTATTTCTTCTATTAACCTTTAAAAGAACAAAAACAAAGCACAAGGCATAATTTTCTGATTCAAAAAAAAAATTTTTTTTTATCCAGACCATGAAAAAAACTTTTGAGTAGGGGCAAATTTTGTGAGTCGGTCGCGTTACTGCAAACAAACATTTTTTTAAGGATGGCCTAAAGGAAAACTCAGGACAATAGATCATAGTATGTTAGCAGGCAGACAGTTGTAAACAAAGTCACCTGTGTACAATTCTTCCTACTTTTCTCACATAGCCTTGTCATAAAGTGCCCTGTACATATTTTGTTGTTGTTGTTGTTGTTTTTGTTGTTTTTTTTTAACAGATAAATACACTTCTGTTCTCAACTCCTGCTACATACTTAAGCAATTTTGAATAAACTTTCATAGGAGTTTTGTCTTTAAGAGACCTGAGACATATTATCAGGGTTTTGTAATTTTTACATTTTTACCCTTTGTTTTAAAAAAAAGGAAGCTACAACTTGTCTCAAGCGCTTTTGACTCTAAGCTTTCACAGATTAAGCCTTCTCATCAAGTGTCTGGGCCCATATTGACAGATTATGTAATTTGAAAATGTTTGGCAGCATTGTGGTCCTTTGTTTTTTCATATATTATATAGAAAATAACTCTCGATCCTGAGTGCTTTCCATTTTGTAACCACTTGAGCACATTATTATTATTAGAATTGAAAACCTGGTTTTGTCTCATTTTTAGCTTGACTTTTCGATAAGAATAAGTAGAGCTATTGTAGTCCCACGAGTGTCAGCGTCAGCGTAACCACTAATGTTAAAGTTTTTGTAATACCTCAAATATTTTCAAAGTCCATTGGCATATGGCTTGTTCACCATCATGACCCTAACCTGTAGACAGGAAGAGGTAACTTTAGCAAGTATTTTGACAGATTTATGCACCTTTTTTGACTTAGAATTTATGTTAAAGTTTTTGTAATACCTCAAATATTTTCAAAGTCCATTGACATCTAGCTTTGAAACTTTGCACACTTGTTCACCATCATGAACCCAACCGGTAGACAGGAGGAGGTAATTGTATCAAGCATTTGGCAGAATAATGCCCCTTTTTCCACTTAGAATTTACATTTAAGTTTGCATACCACCCCAGACATTTTCATATTGTTTTAACATCTGGCTTTGAAACAAGTTGAAATTTTATACTCTTCTTTAAGAGCATAACAGGACTCTCTTCAAGGCCTTTAACTGTAACATGGATTTAAAAAAAAAAATTTGCTCTTTTGCTTACATAAATTTTTTTACATTATCAAGGCTTTTTTTACTATCAAGCACTAAGAAGAGTCGAGCGTTGGTGTCCTACCGACAGCTCTTGTTGTGTTTCTTGTTTAGTTTTTTATGCCCCCACAGAGTGGGAGCATATAGCGTTGCACTTGTCCGTCCGAGTGTCCATCCGCACAAACATTTCAGGTATATGAGCTAACTAACGGTACACTTGGACAAAAGAGAACAAAGGACTTCATTCCGTTAATAATAGTTAGCTCATAAAGAAACAATAGTTAGCCCACAAGGAAACAAAAGAAAAGAACAATAGAAATAGCTCATAAACCTGAAAAATGTGTACGTATGTCCGTCTGTCTGTACGTCCCGAAATCTTGTCAACGCAACTCCTCTTAAACCGGATGGCAGATTTTGCTTTAACTTCCAGGGATGAACAACCTTAATGTGTAGATGGTAGTAAAGGAAGGAATTTTTGCTGCGACCAAATTTAACAGAATTATGGCCCTTTGTTGATTTTTTCACTATATACTATGTAGAAATTTTGTGAACGCAACTCCTCTTAAACCGGATGGCACATTTTGCTTAAACTTCCAGGGATGAACAACCTTAATGTGTAGATGGTAGGAAAGGAAGGAATTTTTGCTGCGACCAAATTTAACAGAATTATGGCCCTTTGTTGATTTTTAGTTTTAAACTTGTGGCACATGTAGTCCAAAAAATATTTGATCTAGAATCATAAGATTGACAGAACAGTGGCGTGTGGGGGCATCCGTGTCCTATGGACACATTTCTAGTTTTATTTAAAAATTACCCTACTAGTTGCAGAGTAGCATATGATAAATACTCATTTTGCACATATTTATATGTATGCACTTAAAAGAATTGACAATGACATCATGTTATCAAAGTTTTGTGGCATTCAAAAAGCAAATTCCACAATTTCAGATGTATAATGTGGGATAAAAGGTGCCAATAAGTTTTGATAGAATGTTTAGGTTTTATGTTTTCATTGATTTCTTACAGCAGCAGTTACCTATTATGGCTTGTCTTTTGTCACTTGATACACTCAATGAGGGATGCAAATATTGTCCCAATTTGTTTTCTTGTCCTCATTTGGAAGTGTAACTGAAAGCATCATTTGTAAATTTTGGTAATTTGTATTATTTACATACTGTCCTTACTTACTGTATTCCTAGAAAAGATTTCGCGCATTTTAAGTTAGCGCTTTTCGCGGTAGGCATGATTCCGCGAATCTTTGTAGCCGCGAAAATGTCACATATAACAAATCCGCGAACATTTCTAGCTTCAACCAAATAAAAACAATAGGCAGACTATTTATTATAATCTACTTAAACAAAAAAAACATATTCACACAGGTTCTATAGAAATGTGTAAAGAATTATGTATGTATGTTACAGATACCAATTTGGACCCTGAAAAAAAGTCAATTATTAGTAATTATGCTTATTGACTTTATTCGCTAGTCACAGCGTATACAAAAGCATTTACAGTTTGCGAACATTGAGTGACTTTGATTATTTTTTGCTTGAAGAAGGCGTAATCCTTTGTTAACAGTACAATAGCGATCAAGTGCTTCATTGATAATCAGCTGTTATGTTGTTATAATAATAAAAGCAATGTTCAGTCCGATACTGTGAAAACAATAACGTATCGGCATTTTGAAGATAAAGTTATGATTCAAATGAAAATAAAAGCTAACTGGCTTGACTAAATCTTACTTAATCACATAGTGCAAAAGGTAAGGAAATAAGTAAAAGTGTTCACTAAATAACCGTCCGTGTTCGGCTAGTCAAATAATACAAAAGGAATTGAGTAACGTAGCGCTTTAGGCGCGACTTGTCAAAAAAAGTAAAAGAATTAAAAGTACCCAACAGACAAGGTCATACACTCCAAAAACTGTAATTTAGGCCGTAGCGACTTAGTATTCCCGTAATTCGCGGTGACTACAAATCCGCGAAAGTTTTTCTCCGCGAAAATGTCGACGTTGTGAAAAACGCGAAATATTGTATCCGCGAACTTTTCTAGGAATACAGTAATTTAATTGTTCCCATTTGGATGTGCTAAATTGTCCCTATTATTTTACTTGTACACATTGCACAACATATACACTGTTTCACAAGGTTTTGTAAAATATGTTATACAAGTTGCTTAGAATACAGCCTGACTGAGATAATTATTGCCCTATGCGCTAGCGAAGATTGATATTTATCTCTGGAAGGCTCTATCCTCCTGTATATCCCGTCAGCAACTTGTATAATGTATTTGTAATATAATGCAATTTCTTATTGATGGTAATTCAATGATGAAGATTGTAAGATTACGCTTCTTTCTTGATACTTAGTTAAATTTGTTCCCCTGTTTTTGCGGTTGAACACGTACCTTGTTTGTACATTTCAGTTCCTTACTGTTTATACTGTACAATATACATAGTTTATAAGCCAATCAAAAGTAAAGCAATTTATTTATGTTATAATATGTTTTTGGCTCATAGGCAGCATCTAATTAAAGGAAAACATGAATGCAATGAAACCTTCTCTTCTTCATTTATTTCATTTAATTGTTATACATGTACATTTGTATTTACTTTAAGACAATGGCATTGTGTTTTCAGATGCTGATAAGGTGGTTGGACTGGTTGGAAACAGTAATGATGTGGGTAGTACCACAGAAAATCACAACATTGAAGGTAAATTTGTAACAGAAGCAACAACCTTTGTGTATAAAGTCATGAAACTGAAAGATTCAAATTAGATTATCTGACAATAGCTATGCACCCCCTTTATCCACTTTTAAAAGAGCATACATTACACTAAACAAGAAAATAATGATAAATGCCATTTTTGCACATTTTTATATATATGCACTTAAAAGAATTGTTGTATTTACTTTAAGTCACTGACAATGACATCATGTTATCAAAGTTTGATAAAATGATGAGCAAATTTTCTCTGAGTGATTAGAGATATGTCATCATTCCATTTCATTGTTTTTATTTGGATGTGTAGAATATGTTTTTTTACGCACAATAGACAGAACATACCCTGCACATTTTTGATAGTAAATTACACTAGTTCATTTGTTTCTTTGCAAGGCTTCAGTGCCAGTCAGACAAGTTTTGAATTCCTACTAATGTTTAGAGATCATATTCTCTTGATGACTTTGTGGCATTCAAAAAGCAAATTCCACAATTTCAGATGTATAATGTGGGATAAAAGGTGCCAATAAGTTTTGATAGAATGTTTAGGTTTTATGTTTTCATTGATTTCTTACAGCAGCAGTTACCTATTATGGCTTGTCTTTTGTCACTTGATACACTCAATGAGGGATGCAAATATTGTCCCAATTTGTTTTCTTGTCCTCATTTGGAAGTGTAACTGAAAGCATCATTTGTAAATTTTGGTAATTTGTATTATTTACATACTGTCCTTACTTAATTTAATTGTTCCCATTTGGATGTGCTAAATTGTCCCTATTATTTTACTTGTACACATTGCACAACATATACACTGTTTCACAAGGTTTTGTAAAATATGTTATACAAGTTGCTTAGAATACAGCCTGACTGAGATAATTATTGCCCTATGTGCTAGCGAAGATTGATATTTATCTCTGGAAGGCTCTATCCTCCTGTATATCCCGTCAGCAACTTGTATAATGTATTTGTAATATAATGCAATTTCTTATTGATGGTAATTCAATGATGAAGATTGTAAGATTACGCTTCTTTCTTGATACTTAGTTAAATTTGTTCCCCTTTTTTTGCGGTTGAACACGTACCTTGTTTGTACATTTCAGTTCCTTACTGTTTATACTGTACAATATACATAGTTTATAAGCCAATCAAAAGTAAAGCAATTTATTTATGTTATAATATGTTTTTGGCTCATAGGCAGCATCTAATTAAAGGAAAACATGAATGCAATGAAACCTTCTCTTCTTCATTTATTTCATTTAATTGTTATACATGTATTTACTTTAAGACAATGGCATTGTGTTTTCAGATGCTGATAAGGTGGTTGGACTGGTTGGAAACAGTAATGATGTGGGTAGTACCACAGAAAATCACAACATTGAAGGTAAATTTGTAACAGAAGCAACAACCTTTGTGTATAAAGTCATGAAACTGAAAGATTCAAATTAGATTATCTGACAATAGCTATGCACCCCCTTTATCCACTTTTAAAAGAGCATACATTACACTAAACAAGAAAATAATGATAAATGCCATTTTTGCACATTTTTATATATATGCACTTAAAAGAATTGTTGTATTTACTTTAAGTCACTGACAATGACATCATGTTATCAAAGTTTGATAAAATGATGAGCAAATTTTCTCTGAGTGATTAGAGATATGTCATCATTCCATTTCATTGTTTTTATTTGGATGTGTAGAATATGTTTTTTTACGCACAATAGACAGAACATACCCTGCACATTTTTGATAGTAAATTACACTAGTTCATTTGTTTCTTTGCAAGGCTTCAGTGCCAGTCAGACAAGTTTTGAATTCCTACTAATGTTTAGAGATCATATTCTCTTGATGACTTTGTGGCATTCAAAAAGCAAATTCCACAATTTCAGATGTATAATGTGGGATAAAAGGTGCCAATAAGTTTTGATAGAATGTTTAGGTTTTATGTTTTCATTGATTTCTTACAGCAGCAGTTACCTATTATGGCTTGTCTTTTGTCACTTGATACACTCAATGAGGGATGCAAATATTGTCCCAATTTGTTTTCTTGTCCTCATTTGGAAGTGTAACTGAAAGCATCATTTGTAAATTTTGGTAATTTGTATTATTTACATACTGTCCTTACTTAATTTTATTGTTCCCATTTGGATGTGCTAAATTGTCCCTATTTTTTTACTTGTACACATTGCACAACATATACACTGTTAAACAAGGTTTTGTAAAATATGTTATACAAGTTGCTTACAGGAAATATGGGTGAATATAGCCTGACTGAGATCATTATTGCCCTAGGCGTAATAATATTGAATGTTTCCAGTTATTAAGGGGACTAACTAATAATCAGTGTTTTGGCGGCATCATTTCTGCAGGTACCAGCCCCCTTAGTCCTTTGGTTTATACCTGCAATTCATTTATGTTATTGCATTGGGCATCTGTCTGCCTTTCCTATTGTCAATCCATTAGCAGTTTTGTTTCAGGAGGGTAACTGGAGTACTGTTCAGCTTACAGTCTTCAAGCTTAATTATGTGGGTGACCCAAGGTCAAGGCCAAATGTCAATATCACAGTGACCCTAAGTTAGATTTGACCACTTTAAATCTATGTCAGTAAAAGATATAATTACTATTGAATTATGCAGAAATGTACATAAGGAAAAATATGAAAGCTCTACAGTGGTCAAAGCTCATCGAGTGAAGACCAATTATAACATAACCCTGTGACCCATATGACCTAAATTGTACTGACCCTAAGTTGTAATGGGGGTTAGCTACTTGATGTGTGCAATCAATATAATTATGTACACAAATGGCCATCAAGTGGAAATGGTTTTCTAAGTTAGGGTCACTATGATCTTGACCAATATTACCTTGATATATCCTGAGAAAGCTATGAAAATACTGGATGATAATTGCTACTAATAAAGAATCCATGCAAATTATGCTTTTGTATGATAAACCAGGTATTTCTTGTACCTAATATGTAATCATTTTATTTCTCTTGGATGAAATATTGCACAAAGAGCAAAATATTAGGTTTGCACTGTCATTAAGTTGCACATTTCAAATTCAATAATTTTAAGGTACAAAAATAGAGTAGATGAAAGATGTACTTTAAGGGATCATCCATCTGTTGTGTGTTTTCTGTCCACTGCCTGAATAAACCAACAGACCAGTCAAGTTGTTGATTGCTACAGAATGAAAATAATGTGCAGAGGTCAAAATACCTCTAGACAATATAAATCTGTTAGATTGGCCAGGATTCTTAATTGGCACCTCAGGCTATTTGCATTGAGTTAAATTATTTTCAGAATCTATATATATAGCATATATTTCATTTTTCATCTATATGTAAATTGTCATAATATTATTTACTTTTAGACAATGACAGTAACATTGTGTCTGATAGGATCATTTACCAGACTGATGAGGAAAGTCCTGCCTCTGACACAAGTTTCTGTGAAAATTCAACATTTGAAGGTAATATATTTATTGGCATAAAGTCACATGTAAAATCTCTTAGATTAATTTAATTACAATGGCATTTAGGTATATTTACGCTTTTATCTTTTAGTCTTGAAAGTACAAACCTTCTGTATTAAATAATATAAAATTGTAATACTTTTCATTTCAACATAGCAACTCTTTTTGTGTTGATAATGCACACTCACTAGAACACTAGAACTATTTCCCCCCTTGTAAATATCAAAAGAACCATAACTATGCTGTGCCTAGTTTTGGAGTAATTGCCCTTTTTCAATTTTACCCTGTGAATTTTGTATGGGACATAACTCTAAAATTATAAAAGATATCAACATGAAACTTCGTAGGTTGAGAGATCCCATTGTGTAAATATGCTGTGCAAAGAAAAGTTACTCTGCCTGACCTAATTTTAGAATTATTACACTTTTAACTTTGTCTAGGCCATAACTACAAGATGTATAGTTTTCTGTGTCCAAAAACCTAATTGATATTAAATACACCATGAAAAATTATTTTTGGTCATAGAAATGTTGGACTTGATAATTTATGGGCGTTACTCGCAGCATACTTTCACATAAAATAAAACTTCAGAGTGCTTTAATTAGCCTTAAAAGAAATAATTTTTTGATATTCAAAATTTGCTTCAACTGGAGGGGATACCCCTCCTTATGCCTCTACCACTTGGTGCTCCCCTTGAACCACTGATCTATCCACGATTATGACAACATATTAACTACTGCCATTGATGGTATTAATCAACCTCAGATGTATCAAAGGCCCATGTATTATGCTTTTACTGACTGCTCTCTGCTTTTCCAGATAATAGCTGGGGTTCTATAGTTGTCATGAAAGATGGGAAGGAAGCTGATAATTTTCAAATGAAGTCAACAGTTTTAGGTATTGGCAGGTATGTTTCATTAGATTTCACAGAAGAGAAAGTTTATTTGAGTCTCACCCTCATACATGACATGAAATGTAAGAAATATAAAATAAATCCACAGTGATTTTTCTGGAACATTTCAAAGTCATACAGCTCTTACCTTTGATCATGCTGGATAAGTAGTCAGTCACTCGCAGACGAATTTGTTTCATATCCAGGAAAGCTGATTAAATGGACTGACCTCTAAGATATGACCAATAAGATGTTGAAAATAGTATAAAACGCCATACAGACACAGCCATTCCAAGATTTTTTGCATAAACAGTTCTGAAATCACATCAAAATTGAGAAAAAAATCTCCCACTGCACATTTGAATTTGGTCACTAAAGTCTCTGCATATGTCATAACATAATATTTGTAACAAGGTTTTTAGACATGCTTAGCACTAGGTGTCAAAGGTCACAGTTACATTGGTCGTATATGTCAAAAATTTTCCCGACCAATAACTTCACATCCATGGGCCTGGCTCTAAAACTGCATATGTGCACTTCAATAAAACATGTAGAACAATTTTTTTGGTGTCCAAATCTTCCACAGCCTTTGCTATTCAAGGGCAAAACCCTGATTTTTAACAACAAAAAAAAACAACAAAGCAAAAAATAGTTTATGTTTTCTCTTTATTTTTTTGCATAGAAGTGGCCCTATATTATGTTTTTTTTGGGGGGAAACATTTTGCATTTTATGTCATAGCATTTTTGTGACATAAGTCATTTTCAGTGACAATTCTTGTTTACATATAAGCCACACTGCATGCATCTTCTTACTTTCTGATAAGGGGTGGGAGCATGCATGTTAACCATTATTTCTTGTTAGCTAAAGGGTAAATCTTTAAGTTGATTAGAAAGACCTTGACCTTTAGTCATACATGAATTTGACAATGAAGGTCAAATTACTTGATTATTGCTGATTTTACCTATTTCTAGCTATAACTTTGTTATCTGTGGATGGATTGTTTTCAGACTTGGATGGAATAAACATTCAAGTTGATCAAACAGACCTTAAACTTTAATCATAATTGACCTTGACATTGAAGGTCAAATTATTGAAATTTCACTGATTTTTGCTATAATTGGCTGTAAATTTATAATTAATTATTAAAGTATTTTAATTCTTTGACAAAAGAACCTTTTGGGCAGGACCTTTAAAATATTAAACCAATTTTGGCCCTAGGCTAAAAGTGACATTGACTGTCAAGGTTTTTAATTTTATCATATATTTATTGTTGATAAAATAATTTATATCTGACTTAGATATAAATATTCTATCTCATTTTCATGAAATGTATAGTATTAAAAAAATTGAAAATTTCCTCCCTCTCAACTAGCAAATGCTTCTGGCATGAATGTAGTTCTTGTACACTATAATTTTCTCTTATGTACTTAAAAATCATTTTGGATACTAATTTTCCCTCTAATGCATTTATGTAAACTCATCTTCTGTCAGGTTTTCATTAAAAAGATTGATTATCTGCTGTTTACTATTGTGGACTGACCTTCAAAAAAAATCTTTCATGCAACAGAATTCTTTTTTACTTGTAATTTTTTGTTAAGATTTCATCTTCTATTAATTTACTTAAAAAAAAAAGTAAAGCGTTGCCCCCACCAGTTGGTGGTTGTTGTTAAATGTTTAAAATATTTTTTGGTTTGAGCACTGTGTATATGTATATTTCTCAAGAAATCTGAATTCACTAATTAAGAATTTGGCCAAGAGAGAAATTTCTCTCATAAGAAATCCAGGCAAGAATATTTATTGCAAACAAAGCTAAGAATTGGAAACAGTCTATGCAGATGTTGGACACACTTACTATGGATGTCAATTTATAGAAAAATTTTAAATTTTTTACAGGCCTTTCCAAATTTTTCCTTAAATTTTTCAAAGGAGCATTAGCACATAAGTCTTTTTGGAAAAAACATCCCAGGGGGAGGAAAAAACCAGGGATTTTAAAAAGCTATCACTTTTATAAAATTTATTGAAATTTGAAAAATGCAAAAATTTTAAACGAGGTTTAATTTGAATCCATTTTTTTGTATTTTTCACCATCATTTTTTAAATTTTAATATTATGTAAAAGAAATTAAAACAGCAGCATTAATTTTATGAAACTTTCATGTGTTTAAAATATTTGTACAAAACCCCTCTTGGGAAAAAAAATTAAAATTTTATTTTTCCCTTTCAGAGCAAAAAGTTTTTATTACCCTTCCCCCAAAAAACAAGTTTAGGGGGGAAATATGGGGGTCGGGTTTTGTCGGGTCGGTCATTTTGGATCCGTCCGTGGTTTGGGTTTCTGCTCGACAGGGTTTTTGGGGAGGGAAAAATAGATTTGGGAATGAATTTTGTAATCAAACTTGGTATACAGCAAGTTTATATGAAGACCTGGGTTGGTAATGCATTTGGTTCCCCTGAGATCAAGGTCAACATACAAAAAATAGAAAAATTGTTTCTAGAAGATAATGTTAGGTCAAAAAGAGATAATTTTAGGTTAAAAACAGATATTGTTATTGAATTTGGTATTTAGCAACCTTATGGGGAAATCCTGGTTCGGATGGCATTTGGACCCCCTGGGGTCAAGCGTCATTATTACTTAAAATTGAAACATGATTTTCAGTTAGGAAAGAGATATTACAATCAAATTTAGTATAAAGCAAGATTATATGAAGATCCTGGTAAGAATTGCAATTAATGGAAATAATTCTTTGTTCATTTATTACTCATAGGTTTCAAATTTTTCTTCAGACCACTTTTTTGGCAAGTCCAAGTTGCTGGTGGGGGTATTAATCGCCTTTAGTGAGCAAAATTTTACATAAAAAACTGTACTAAATAAAACTATACTCAACAGGTATTTTTAATTCGTGGAGAAAGTGACATTCATCTGTTAGATGATGGAGAGGTTTTTGAAGTTGGAGGCCGCTCATTCAAGTGGAAGTTTCCATGTTCATCTAATTGTATGGTAAGTTCTATATTTAACACATTAACTAATGATGATAGATTAGATATTTAACATAGATTCTTCTGTATTAAGTCACTTTTTATGCCCCCCAACAAAGTGGTATTTACATATCTGGTATCTACATAAACTATTTATATATTGCCTTTGGTTACTTTTACTTGAAAATGGCATAATTTTAACTTCTGATTAGAATTGAATGCAGTTTCCTTTAAGGGTAAAGTAAATTGAAAGGTAATACATTATACAAGAATTGTAACTGTGTCTTCACTTTTTACAAAGTCACTGTCCTTTGTTACTTTTCTTATCTTGAGCATTACTTTGAAGCTACTAGTTGTAACACAGGGCAGTCAATAGACAAAAGTAGTAAGAGGAAGTTTTTTACTTAGTAAATTACAACGATATAATTCTATCATCTTCCCTTTCTAAAGCATAGTTAGATTGTTCTTTTACATGTTAATATATCACAAAAAATTCTGTAAGTACAATCAAGGGGAATGTTTGTACCCATGGTCAAATTTCAGGCTGATGATAAATTTAGACATTGTTTTCAGAAAATATACCTGCCATTCTAGTAATATGACTTATTGGTTTTAGAGCAACGTGTACTTGTCTGCATTAAGACACTGGTTTATTTTGTATCTACATGTGATGTGTGCAATTTATAGAGTGCCTAATTCTTGTAAATTGTTCTCATTTAGATGTGTGTATTTCTTTTGCCCTCATTCGGTGTGTATTTTGAGGCATTATGAGTAAATAGTGATGGTGTGTATTATTTCATTCTGTGTTTATTTTAGTGTTTATTTCACTTTTCCTTGTACTTGCAGTTTGATGAAAAACCAAGTGAAATTGTTAACAATATTTGTGTACAGGCTGATGAAACCTTAAGTGAAGGTGTTAGTAATGTTTGTGTACAGGCTGATGAAGCCATAGGTGAAGGTGATAACAATATCTGTGTACCGGCTGATGAAGACCTAGGTGAAGGTGATAACAATATTTATGTAAAGGCTTATGAAGACCTATGTGAAGGTGATAACAACATTTGTGTAAAGGCTTATGAAGCTTTAGGTGAAGGTGATAATAATATTTGTGTACAGGCTGATGAAGTCTTAGGTGAAGGTGATAACAATATTTGTGTACAGGCTGATGAAGACCTACGTGAAGGTGATAACAACATTTGTGTAAAGGCTTATGAAGCTTTAGGTGAAGGTGATAATAATATTTGTGTACAGGCTGATGAAGTCTTAGGTGAAGGTGATAACAATATTTGTGTACAGGCTGATGAAGACCTACGTGAAGGTGATAACAACATTTGTGTACAGGCTGATGAAGTCTTAGGTGAAGGTGATAACAATATTTGTGTACAGGCTGATGAAGCCTTAGGAGAAGGTGATAACAAAATTTGTGTACAGGCTAATGAAGCTTTAGGTGAAGGTGATTACAATATTTGTGTACAGGCTGATGAAGCCTTAGGTGAAGGTGATAACAAAAATTTTGTACAGGCTGATGAAGACTTAGGTGAAGGCATTAACAATATTGGTGTACAGAATGATGAAGACCTAGGTAAAGGCATTAACAATATTGGTGTACAGAATGATGAAGACCTATGTAAAGGCATTAACAATATTTGTGTACAGAATGAAGACCTAGCTAAAGGCATTTACAATATTTGTGTACAGAATGATGAAGACCTAGGTAAAGGCATTAACAATATTTGTGTACAGAATGATGAAGACCTAGGTAAAGGCATTAACAATATTTGTGTACAGAATGATGAAGACCTAGGTAAAGGCATTAACAATATTTGTGTACAGAATGATGAAGACCTAGGTAAAGGCATTAACAATATTTGTGTACAGAATGATGAAGACCTAGGTAAAGGCATTAACAATGTTTGTGAACAGAATGATGAAGACCTAGGTAAAGGCATTAACAATATTTGTGTACATGCTGATGAAGCCTTAGTGGAAGGTGATAACAATATTTGTGTACAGGCTGATGAAGAATTAGATCACAATATTATCAAGATAATTGTGCAATCTGATGAAGAACCAAGTGATGATGTTTACAAGATGAATATGCAGACTGATGAGGACTCAAATGAAGATATTTACAAAATTAAAGCCCAGACTGAGTCACCAGCAGTAAGCATGCCTGATTGCCAAAGAAAGGTCTTTTTTTGTGGTGTTCAACCTAACAATGTAGGTATCTTCCTTGCATCTTTATAAATTGTAAAAATTTTGTATCTGATATTTTGAATAATTGTGTACTCAGTTTATTGTTAATTCAATATTTGATAATAGACTTTGAATGGTCTGTCACATAAGTTAATTGTAGTATTTCTTATTTTATGCTGCTGGACTCATATGGATGGATTAGACACATATTTTAGACCGTCTTGTTTGTTACAAAACTTTAACCTTTCTCATAAATTGAATACCTGTAGTTCCAGGACTTTCAACCTTTACAGGCATATGGCCACCATGAGCACTCGACCAACAGGTTACCTTTTGGGTCTCTGAGTCAAATGTCTCTGTGTCTTGCAATGTATAACTTTAAACATGTATATGAAATGAAACTTGTAGGTTGTGGAGCTATATCTTGTTATTATTTAGAACTCTAGAATAGAAACAATGTTTTTCATTGTTTAGCCAAAAAGATTTTGGTTTGTAGGAAACTTACATTCGATTTCCCAAAAACTTTTTGAGTTATGATAAAAATGATTCTAGTATTTGCTAACGAAAAAGTGTTTAAATATTCACAGGGTTTCCTGATGTTGTTTAAGAAGTATGTGCTTACAGAAAATGTAGATGAGGCACATATCATAGTTGTCAAGGCATGTAAGTAAAAAATATTTAATGTATTTTTCAGAAAATTTTTGTTCAATACCAATAAAAAATTCTAGTTGCTTATGTGATTTATGTGAGGAAAAGAAATACAAAATGTTTTAGGAATTCACATCTAATTATATGGTAAAACATTATAAGGTTGTTTGAAAAAACGTGAGATTATTTCATGTAGAATATGCTAATAAATGAAACAAATTTCTCACTTTTTGTTTCATTATAGCCTTTGTCCCTAGCATAAGTATTTTCAACAGTAGATAGAAAACAGAAATTGCCTTCATAGAAATACTGATGCACTGATGTCATATTTTTAATGCCCCATGTCTTGGTAATTTAGATTTGCCTTTGTTGGTACGGCCCAAAATGTTTTGTTGCATGCAGCTCCAAAAGCACTGGATATAGAGTCAAGAAACGTTACATAAACATTTATCAGCATGTGAGGTTGTGCTTCTGGGGTTTGATGTGTGGATTGATTAAGAATTGTTAGAATGGTTGCACCTTACTTAGTCAGAATTTTGCCATTTTAAACTTGTGTCACATGTAGCTCTTAATTTAGCACTGGAACTAGAATCAAGAACTTTAGAGGAATGTTCACATGTGTCTTGATTTGGAAATATATATGTTTTTGTTCCTGACTTAGTAAAAAGTGCAATTTTCAACTTGTGTCACATGTAGCTCAAAAAAGTATTTTAATAAGAGCCATGAAACTCAAAAGGAATGCTGATGAGCATGTGAAGATGTACATCTCATTTTCGCGTGTAGATTGATTTAGAATTGTTCAAGATATTGACCCTCACTTAGTAAAATTTTGCAAAATTCAACTTGTTATCCCCCATCGATGGAATCTGGAGGGGATATTGTAATTTTGGCCTTGTCTGTTTTACCATCCCTCTGTCCATCCAACAATTTGAATTTCGTTTCCGGCCCAGTTCTTTACAACTACTGGCGGGAATTCAACGAAACTATGGGAACCGTCAATACCAAGATGAGATGCCATATCATTGAATTGTTCAGGTCAGACCATTCAACACTGAGTTATGGCCCTTGATTAGTTATACAGTATGCAGATAGACCAATAATCTTTTCTATGCTTTTTCTTTGCAACTACTGGCAGGAATTAAACAAATCTTTATTGCAACCTTCAATACCAAGATGAGATGCCCATATCATTGCCTTGCTTTTGTCAAACCCTTCAACACAGAGTTATGGCCCTTGATTAGGTATGCTGTATTCAAATAGAGCAATAATTGTTTCTGAGCTATTTCTCTGCAACTACTGTCTGGAATTCAAGGAAACTTCATGGGAACCATCAATACTAAGCAGAGATAAGCATATATGCAATATTGCTATTTCTTTGCAACTGCTGGATTGATTTCAACAAAACTTTATGGAAACCATCACTATCAAGACGAGGTGTGCATTGTTCTGGTTCCATCAACACAGGGTTAAAGCCTTGTTTAATTAGCAGTAGCTAACATTGCCTTTACTGGCAGCCCCTTCAGGTTAGGGCCCATTGCTTATTTATGCAGTAGTAACAAGAAATTGACATTTCCACCCTTTTCCTCAATACTGGGGAAATTTCAAAGAAATTCATGGAAAAACATCAATTAAAGTTAGGGCCCCTGGTATTGCCCTGAAAATTTTTTTCATGTAGAAGAAATATTACTGTTTTTAGCCAATTTACAATATTTTTAAAAAAACTTTATGTTCCCTTTTGTTAGTAATCCCGTACTTGGCAGGGGATTTTTAAATTTAAGAATTGGGTTTTTTTGTTTGTGCCCCCCTTTTTAAGAAGGTGGTATATCTTTTCTAAGTCGGTCGTCTGTCGGCTGTCGTGACCCCATGGGGTTTTCCCCTGATTATCTTTAAAAGTGTTTATCACAATTTTTTTTAAGTCTTCATATTTCACATATTGATTGGGCATAGTAAGTAGATGACCCCTTTTGATTTGGGGTCACTAGATCAAAGGCCAAAGTCACAGGGGCTTTAAATGTCAAGTGGTTTCCACTGATTATCTTGAAAAGTGTTCATAACAAAGTCTTTATATTTCACATATTGATTGGGCATAACTAGTAGATGACCCCTATTGATTTTGGGGTCACTAGGTCAAAGGTCGAGGTCACAGGGGCCTTAACTGTCAAAATGGTTTCCGCTGATTATCTTGAAAACTATTTATCACAAAGTCTTCATATTTGTAGTGTTGACTGGTAATACCTATTAGATGACCCCTATTGATTTTGGGTCACTAGTTCAAAGTTCAAGGTCACAGGGGCTTAAATATCTCATTATCTTGAAAACTATTTATCACAAAGTCTCCATTATTTTTCTTTTTTCCATAATTGAACACTTCCATGTACCCATTTATGGCAAGTTTCTGTAACAAAATTACCAATTATGTGAGTCAAGGGCTAGAAAGGGAGGCATATGTGTTGTTCGACATTCTTGTTTTTGAGGCGTCTGCTTTATATTTCTCTGCTGTTTGAAACTTTAAAGGGAGACACAGGCAAAATTTGCATTTCTTAGTTTTGAATTTTTCATTCATTATTCTGTAAATGCCCTCAAAATAAATATATTAGACAGTCAAAGGAACAAAACTTTTCTCCATATAAAGAATAAAATGGTGGTTTCCTAACTTGACCCGCGTGGGTCAGGTTAGAGCGCAAGCATTTCACAATAGTTGCCAAAGTGAACTATGGAAACGTTAAAGAACATGTCAAATGAATGACTTAGGCTTGTTCGAATCATACAATATCCACAATATCTGTTATTGTAACTTCAAAAGTTTGTTGAAGTCACCTGACTTGTTTTAAAACTATTTTGTGATTGTATAATGGCGTCTAAGTTTTGTTAAAAATGTATAGATATATTTACGCTTCAAACCCAAAATATATAAAAATTTAAACAGAAATTCATGCTGAAACTTCAAGAAAAGTCATTTTAGCGTGATTTGAGTACATAAGATCATTTTAATATTTTTGTCATTATTTTGCCTGAATATCCCTTTAATGGGACTCATTTTCTACTGTTCAATGTTACATCTACGTAAGTTATAAGTATTTTCTGATTTGCAAATCATTTTTCAGTTTATCCTTCATCTATTTATTTTGCCAGACCTAACTGTAACTTGCATTGTTATTTTCACTACTCATACCAAGAACATGAAGCTGTTCCATCCTTAAAGTACATATTTGGCAGTGACAAAAACCCTTCTAGTTTATCATTGGGTTTGTCCTTTTATAATAAAATAAAAGAGAGATACATTGAAACAGTATCAGGTATATCTGGTAGTCATTGATGAGATGATGAGGGGCATCTGTTTCCTATGGACACATTTCTAGTTTTACCAAGAATAGATTAGAAATTCACTAAAGCTTTTAAATTTATTACTCATGACCACTTTTACAGCTGCACATGGACAGACAGACTGCTCCTGTGTTGAATTGTTTGAAAGCTTGGTGCAGAGGGAAAAAACAATATTAAGCTACAAATGGATAAAGGAATCTTTGCTTGCAGGCAACATACTTGATATGGTCAGTACATTTCTCTTGAAGCTAAGATAATACATATGTATAACATGCTACTCACTTTGGATATCAATTTTATCAGGCGAAGCTTATTTGGGCTAGAAGGGGCGAGGCTTGCCGAGCCCTTTCAGTCCATATCATCCTAGCCTGATAAAATTGATATCAAAAGACAGTAGCATGTTTTTCTATTTATCATGTAACTCATAAAAAGTAATAAAAAAAAGCTTTGAAATATATGATTGTTTTTTTGGAAAAATGCTGCTTTTTTTCATAGAAATAATTCTCGAAAACAAATCCCTCCGCCCAGGACATTTTAAAAATGGGGGCTATTTGTTTCTCCTTTTGATTTGATTTCTTTTTTTAAATCAACACAACAAAACATAACAGAAGTAGATTCTTAAAAGTACCCTTATGAATCACATGAATTCTAAAAATATTTTCCTTTGTTTTAAAACATCTATTTTAAACCTTTAAAAGTTTACAATTACGAAATGTATGGTGTTCAATATTATTGTATTCTAACACAAGATTAACAAATTTGATATCTAATATTTCCTGAATGAAAACAAATTGTCTTTGTAATTAAACAGTCTCCTTGCGAAATTTGCTAAACATTCATTAGCAAAGTATAAAGACACTAATACTAATACAAAGACACTTGTTATGTTTAGTACAATGAAGTATTGATCCATTGATGATGTCATTCTTGAAACCACTTATGACATCACTTCAGTACTACTACTTAATGATACTTCTTAAGCCTTAATTGATTACTAAAAATATGTATAGTCAGGGTGAGCTTTAAGGATCGTTGAATGTCTGTCGTCCATCAGATTTCGTCCGTGAAAACTGTAGTGGTCACATGGTTTTTTACTCAGTCATCATCAAATTTTGTCAGGATGCTTGTCTAAGTAATTGCTCGGATGACTTTCAACATGGGTCATCTTGGATGAGAAACTAGATCACAGGAGCTTAAAATGTGCCTTAAGTTCTAAAGATAAAAAAATCTTGTGAACGTTGTAGTGGGCTCAATTTTTAATCAATCATCATCAGAGTCCACATCGCTTCCTTTTTGTGAGGATGTAGACGTTTGATACTCCTGTAGTATGATTTCTTTTTTAGACACAATACCAGAGTGTACTTTTTGGAATTTCAAAATTCTTTGCTTTTTCAGTTTTATCTCAATTTCTTGTAAAATTTCATATTTTGTTTCTAAACTCAGCGCTTTTCGTTTTCTTTCCATGATTAAGGATAAACAAGAATTAAAACAAGATTTTGATGTTTTTCCTGTTATATTGAATATCTTCTATTATATTTAAAGGTTGACTTTTACTTATGAAAGATATAGATTTCTTTTTGTTTCATTTCAAACAAGCGTATTTTTCAATGAATTTTACTCAAGAAATAGCATGCGTACTGATGTCGAAAAACCGGTTACAAATGATCATAATTATTTTCATCAAGCAAAACTTTTAAAGAAAAGAAATAATGAAATAAAATAAATAATGGTTTTATCTTGGTGACAAGAACTCATGCTTAAAATATCCTTAATTATAAAGAAAGCCATTACGTACTGCTATACAAATTCATTTTCATAACTGTAATGAAGTACATACAACAATAAACGGTACATCATCGGTCATGTTTTAATCTGTACCGATGAAAATGAAAGTAGAAATTGCGGGATCTATAATTTACAGATAGCAGATTTTGAAGTTTGTTATAAAAGTGTAAATTTCTGTACTTTGAACATAATTGGGACTTAATAATGAGTTCCCTTAAAGGGAATTAATTCCTTATATTCGCTGTAACCATATTTTTTAAGAAAAGCAAAATTTGGGACAAAATATATTCCTAATATATTTGGAGTTCGTTGTAACCATGTCCACTATAAGTGAAGTTAATTGTACACTGAGTTATAGACATTTTTTAACTTAAAAAGTGTCTGCATTTATTTATCCAAGATTCTTTCATGTTTCAGTGGAATATTCCTCTTAGTTTATTTGTACATTATTCAGGTTATTGCTATGCAGCTGTCCTATCAAAAGCTCTTATTGCAGAGAGTTGTATTCTCATTAGGTTAGTCCCTACAGAGGTGAACTGACTTTGGCTTATGCTTGTTTTAACATAATTAAGGGCCGGGAATTATATTCGAATATTCAAATATTGGAACATTGAAAAACGAATATGAATATTCGAAAAAAAAAAGATTTTTTTTTTATCACTTTCAATATTCAATTAAGATCGTAAATTAAAACATTGACCTTTTCTTGACCAGGTGTTCACACGTTTGTATGACGCGTGTCAACGATTATCGCCAATTAACTGTGAAAACTTTGGGGTCTAGTAAAAACTGATGAAAAGGGAACCTGTTTCACAGTTTGCAATTTACCTGTTTAACAGTTTAGAATGCATTTTTCCCCGCTTTTAATTATCTTATTTATTGTTCTTTTGTGCTAGAATCTTTCTGATTAATCAATAATTGTTTTAAATTTTTTTGAACAGAATAAATCGGCAAGAGTTAATCGGCGATTATGAAAGCGTGGCAAGGTCTATATAATCCGTCGGAATATATTTAATCCGTAGATATTACACTCCATGTGATATTTACTGCGTTAAAGCTATATTCTATTTTAAGAATAGTTTAAACCTTATATGAAATTATAATTAAATAAAAAAAATAATACAAGTTAAGTTTTAATATAATTAATGGTTATTGGGGCTAAGATGATTCATATTGCTGTCAATCAAGTCACTTGAGTTACCTCCCATTAATAAGACAAATAGGATTAACTGAACAAAAGGCAACCAAATTATGAATTTATTTCAAATTGAAAACATATATGTCAATTTACAATATATCAAATTAAATAAAAACTTTGACGCAGTAATAAAGGTAATTTAATCCTCGATTATTAAAAACATATTAAAGCTGAATAGTATTCAACGCAATCAATTTCGGATGCGTATACGTCAAAGAGAAATATTGGAACAAATCTTAATGTTGTAAAAAACAAATATTCGAATACATTCGAATATGGAAAACGAATATTCGAACATCAAATTCCTTATTTGGTCCCAGCCTTAGTTTTAACACATTCATCAGTTCTATGAAAAAAAGAACACTAAACTATTTGTTATTGCAGGAGAACTTCACGGTCAAGAGCTTGAAGCAATATGGTGAAATTTGTAAAAAAGTTAACTTTGAAACATTTGAGTTTGAAATAAGGGGAGAGAAGTGGATGGACATTACAAAAGGTATGTTATTATACCAAAGTCATCACTTAGTAAGGAATTTCATATTATGTTGCATCCTGCCTATCCTATACTTGATATTCACTCAGTGTCCCACAGTATTTCCCTAGTTCTAAAATATGAAAGATAAATTAACTCCGTAGACATAACCTTAATTTTGACCTATCATAACTTTTTACAGAAGATATTTATTTATTTAAAGAACTTACAGAAAAATCTTTAAAACACTCAATAAATCCCAAGGTTAAAGCTGAGATATTTGATATCATGCCTCAGTGTACAAAGGAGGTGGTAACTTTCAAACATTTTTACAAACTTATGCTTCTTTATCAATTTAGAATTTACATTAAAGCTTGTATACCAACTCAAATATTTTCGAAGTCTAGTGGCATCTAGCTTTGAAACTGTGCTCACTTGTTTAACATCATGCCAACAACCTTTGTACAGGGGGAGATACATGTACCAAACATTTTGAATGAACTAAAAGGATTCCTAGTCCAACATGCATTATCAGTCTTAAATCTACTGAATTTATTTTTTTGAAACTGAATACATTTCTTTGGGGTCATTATTTGAGGTTGCTTTCAGAGGCCTATTACTCTGACATGGATTTTGACTAAATTAAAGCCCTTTTGAACTGAGAAAATTAAGTTTTATATGCAACATCAATCTTCAAAACTGCTGCTTAAATTATTCACTTGAAAGTTAATAAATTTCTTTTGGATCATTCTTAACAGGTCTATTTCCAAGGTCCTTAACTTAACATGAATTAGACTGAATTATGGCCCTTTTTGAAATTGGTCAATTAATTCAATGGTCTGTCAATTTATTTTTAGTTGAATCTTCCTGTTTGTTAATATAAGCATTGTGCAAGTTGTTTTTTTACTATCAATTACTGAGATAGGCATATGCACACTGATTTATACTGCAATATCAGACTAATCAATAAGTCTGATTTAAGAGTTGTGTTACTGAAACTCAAAAATTTATTTAACTGTTTCAAAGTATTTTTTTCTTTACGTTGTCCTGCATAATGCAGAAATAGATAAATGTACTGTTGAGTTTATTTATAAACAGAGTGCAAATGGGCTAAATTTCAGGTCAAGTTTCAAGACTGTTGAAGCATATGGGTGGCCTTCCTGTTATCCATGCTACGGCTGACACAGTTGTTATATGTGCTGATGATATGCTGCATACTTCCAGTGAGTATTTAAATAACATTAAACGCACATTTTAAGCTAATATGAAGTGACTGTTTGACATATTTCTCCATGGTTATTGCTCATTTTTATTTTTATGCACCCCCATAAAAATCCCTGTTACGTCATTCCATCATCATTAGTTTCCATTCACATTTGCACACATTCAACTCAAATTTGACATATGGAAATCACAGGAAAATGAAGGTCTGAAGTTGGAATTTCATCACAATTGATGATTTTTTGAAGAAATTTTCAGTTTCAGTTCATTATCTCCCACACAGTTGTTCACACTAATCTCAAATTCAACATATGGATATGTCTAAGAAATGTCCAGGTCAAGTTCCAATTTGGTCATGGTTTGATGATTTTTTGGCAGAGTAATGCCCCTTTAACTTCGCAAAAGAATAATACATTTTCAGTTTTGTTCATTATCTCCCCTAAAGTTGCATGTATTCAACTCAAATTTTATATTATGGATATGTCATAGGAATACACAGATTAATTTTGAATTTTGTCATGGTTCTATGAATTTTAAGAGTTATCTCCCTTGAACTTTTCAGTTTTCATTCATTTTCTCCCCAACATTTTTCTTTTCATTAGCTCTAAAACAGTTGTTCACATTCAACTCATTTTTATGCTCCCCGAAAAATTTGGGGGGAGCATATAGTCATCGGGTTGTCTGTCCGTCCGGTCGTCTGTCAGTCCATACGTCCTGAATTCATGTCCGGCCCATAACTTTGTGTTATTTGAAGTTGGATTTTAAAACTATTACACAGAAATGATCACTATATTGAGACGACGTGTCGCGCCCAACATTTGGGTCACTACCTTGAAGGTCAAGGTCAAAGCATGACCTTGCAGAAAAATCGTGTCCTGCCCATAACTTTGCTATTTGAAGTTGGATTTAAAAAGTATTTCACAGAAATGATTACCATATTGAGATAATGTGTCGTGCGTAACATTTGGGTCGCTACCTTGAAGGTCAAGGTCACAGCATGACCTTGCAGCAAAATTGTGTCCGGCACATAACTTCATTATTTGAAGTCGGATTTTACAACTTTTTCACAGAAATGATCACCACAATGAGACATTGTGTTGCATGCAACATTCGGGTCGCTACCTTGAAGGTCAAGGTCACAGCATGACCTTGCAGCAAAATCATGTCCGGCGCATAACTTCGTTATTTGAAGTCGGATTTTACAACTATTTCACAAAAATGATCACCATATTGAGACAATGTGTTGTGCACAATATTTGGGTTGTTTTTACACTTTGAACTTTGTCTGTGACATAACTCTGACACAACATGAGGTATACCTTCCTGTGTCCAAAACCTATTTGGGGAGCATCACCTGGTTCAACTGGCTCTTGTTTACATATGGATACGTCAAAGAAATGCCAAAGTCAAGCTTGAATTTGGTCATTTTTTGACAGTTATCCCTTTTGAAATTTTAAAAATGTTAAGAAATTTTCAGTTTCCAGTCATTATCACCCAAATAGTTGTACACATTCAACTCAAACTTAAGATATGAATGTCATAGAAATATGCAGGTCATGTTTATATTTGGTCATGGCTTGATGATTTTTGACAGAGTTATCCCGCTTGTACTTTGAAAAAATTAAGCTATTTTCAGTTTCTGTTTAATTATCTCCCAAATACTTATACACATTCAACTCAAATTTGATATATATATAATTTGGTTATGGTTCATGATTTTGGATAAAGTAAACCCTTTTGAAAGTTTGAAAAAAATTGAAATTTTCAGTTTTTGCACTCTTCCTTTTCTAAAATGTTTGGGTATGTATACATATAAGGTTGGCAAGTCAAGTCCAAATGTGGTTTTAGTCTGATGCTTTATGATTAATGATAGAGTTATCCCTCTTGAACTTAGAAAAAAATAAGACATTTTCAGTCTCTGCTCTAACTTTAGTAGGAATGTATGTCTGAGGTTGACATTGCATGACTACATGTACTGGTATTTTACTAGAAAATACAAGTCAAGTTCTTATTTGTTATGGTTGGATGTTTTTTGACAGTTACCCCCCCTTGAAGTTGTAAAAGATTTATAAATTCACAATTTTTTATCATTAATGATTCACAGCTACAAATATGCAATTTGCAAAAGCTTAACAGGGCATTGAACTTTGTATAAAAATGGTTTGTGTTAACATTGCATGATTTAAGGGCTTTGAACTTAGAATGAAAAAAAATTGATTTGTGCAAACAAATTTGGAACTAAATATTATAATAACATTAGACATTTTGGCTACATGTGGTGGCATTGCAACGCATGGAAAATGGAAAATTACACGAAAATTTGAGACATCCACTTAAAAATTAGGTGGTTGATAGATCTCATTAACATCAGCAACTAAAACAGTCCCCTATCCTACATATTTTTTAGTTAACAGGCCATTATTACATTTAGCTCATTTGTCAGCTAGTTACAGGGTGAGTTTTTGTCATTGGCAAGCTATACGGTGTCCATTGTTTTTCATTTCTCTTCGTTGTACTCCATAATTTCTTTTAACAAAATCTCCTGTATTACACAATGGATTTTGATAAAACTTTACAGGAACATGTGTCATCCTCTACAAAAATTATATAAATTGCACCAGTCTGATGTATAAGTAGGTTGCAAGAGCTAAAAATAGACTTCAGAAATACAATTATTGAAAATTTTCTAAAAAAAACTACCAAGAGCTTAGATATTTGGCATGCACCATTACCATGTTGTCCTCTATGAAAGTTATATAAATCCTGTCCCTGTGGTTAAAATTGGTCATACCTAACAGAAGTCCTATTCCTCTGGTCAAAATTGGCCATACTCTGGGGATAACTTCATATAAAGTAATACAGGTGAACACATTCTATTCTTTGTATGGAAAACTAAAATGCCCAGAGCTTAGCTATTTTGCATGAAGATTTTCTTAGTAGACTTCTACAAATGTAATACAAATGGTTCCAGTCTGATGCATAAGTGGGTCACAAGAATTACAAGTTCACTTTTAAAAAGAAATCTTTTTTATTTAGACTTACCCAGAGCTAATATATTTTGCAAGTACCTTCACCTTGTAGTCATCTACAAAAGTTACATAAATCATGCCTGTTGGGTCGCCACTGGTGTCATTAAGTTTATATAGAGCTATGTTGGAAATCTTGTTATTATAATCTTGTGGAAAACTACAATTCCCAATTCCCAGAGCTTAGATATTTGTCATGAAGCATTGTTTTCTATACCTTTCCAAAAAATGTTTAGATTGTTCCAGTCTGATGCATGAGTAGTTCACATTTAGAGTTAAAAACAAAAGCTTTAAAAATCCTAAGAACCTAGAAATTTTATATGTAGCATATTCTTGGGGTACTTTACAGAAGTATGCACTCTCAGTTCTCCTTGAGGAGTATACCATGATTACAAAATTTTCCACTATCACCCTGACGGCCATGTGTTACTGAAATAATACTGGGAGTATTTTCAGAGTTTGAGCTATAAGTTAGAGTGAATACAGTAAATAAATATTTGGAAATACATATTTCTTTAACTTTATTATCTAGCATTTTCTTCACAGGTCAGTGTGTGTCAAAGGAATGGATATTTGAATGCATAGTGAGAGGGAAAATAATTCGTCAGCATTTACTCAATGCTAACCAAAATGATATTGTATATGAGAGTGATGAATCAAGTGTGTTAAGTTTTCCGATGCTGGACAAGGTGTTGGTTGAGACATCAGGGTCACTAAAGGGGAAGCGAACACTGAAAAAGCAATGTTGCATTTATTGTGAAAAACTGGACTACAAATTATCCAGACATATGGAAATGTACCACCATGATGAATTAGAAGTTGCTAAAATTCTCAGCCTAAAGAAGGGTTCAAGGGAGAGAAAAAGTGCCTGGGCAGCACTTACGGCAAAGGGTAATCATCTCCACAATTCTAAAGTACGTGAAAAAGGAGTAGGCATTCTGATTCCTAAATACCGACCAAGTAGCACACAGGAACAGAAAAGATATTTGCCATGTGAATACTGCAGAATGCTTTTTGTCTCTAGCGATCTGTGGAAACATCACCATAGATGTGTCAAAAAACCTGAGGGTGAGAAAAGCGATGGACCTGTTCACAATGCCAGACTGCTGCTTCCAGTATCTGCAGAAGTCAGTAAAGAGTTCCATGAAGCAGTAATTGTAAAAATAAGAGATGATGCCATAGGGTGCAAAGCTAAATCAGATCCATCTATAACTGCATTTGGGGAAAGGCGGTATGAAAAAACAGGTAAACATGAACATACTCATGCACACATTGCCTGCAGAATGCGTGAATTAGCCAGGTTGGTTTTGGCAATGAGTAAAAAGAATTCATCTGCTGATACTTTATTGAAATGTATACAACCAGTGTTGTGGAGCTCGCTGTTAAAAACAATCAAAGAGGAGGCTGGATTTAACCCAGAAACGCAGACTTTGTCAAGTCCTTCATATGCGGAAAAAGTTGGTCATTCCTTAAAAAAAACTGCCAAAATGCTAAGAACTAAAGCCTCAGAAGCTGGGGATGATGCGATGAAGGAGAGAATGGATTGTTTCATAGATATGTATAATGACGAGTATTTTGATAGGATTGGATTTATGGCAAGAGAAACTTTGACCTCAGCTAATTTCAATAAAATTAAGTTGTTGCCCTTGGTGGAAGATGTTGCCAAATTGTCAAATTACTTAGTAAAGCAAGTGAATAATATCAAAGGGGATAAAACAGGCACATTATATGCTTACACAAATCTTTGTAAATTGCTCCTTTCACAAATTATCTTATTTAATAGAAAACGTGCAGGAGAAGTTGAAAGATTGAAAAAGGAGGATTTTTTAAAATGTTCAGTAAACCAAAATGTAGATGAAGAAATAAAAAAAAGTCTCACTGAATTTGAAAAACATTTATGCCATTCTCACCTGAGAGTCGAAACCAGAGGGAAGAGGGGGAGAAAAGTTGCCATCCTGTTTACACAGACAATGAAGGCAAATATAGATCATCTGCTTCAATTGCAATCTGAATTAAATATCAACAGCAAGTATGTTTTTATAAGACCAAATGGTAAAATGCCATTCAGGGGTGCTGATGTATTGAGAGAAGTTTCTCTTCAAGCAGACCTTAAACATGCAAAGAGAATAACCTCCACAAGCTTGAGAAAGCAGCTTGCCACAATGTGCCAGGTTTTGAATTTGACTGAGAGCAGCCAAGACATATTGGCAAGGTTCATGGGGCACGATATAAGAATTCACCGTGCATACTATCGATTACCACAAAGCACACTTGAAGTGGCTAAAGTTTCTAAAATTCTTCATCTATTCAACACTGGGAAGATTACACAAACTGATGTGGATCTGCAGGACATTGATGTCCAAACATTTGTTGGTAAAAAAAAAAATTTTATATTGTATAAGGACTGTTGATAAATAATTATCATTTAGCTCTTATTTATTAACGAAAAAACATGCATGTATTTGATATTTTAAATTTGCTTATTTAACCATTTGCATGCTCAATATTTTAAATGGGCTTGTGTACAATTTGGACAAAACCATTCATCATTTTTAAGACTGGATCAACCTGTGACCGAGAATAACTATAGAGGAATTTCTTTTATTAGTACACTGTATAAAATATTGTTGTATGAATTTGCAGAAAATAACAGTAAGTTTGACGAATCTCAGGCAGGTTTTCGGGTTAGGTATTTGGCAATTGATAATGTTTTCTGTCTTCAAGCTATGGTGCAAAAATATCTTTCCAAAAAAGGCGGTGGATTTTACTGCCTGTACATTGATTTCCGTAAGGCTTTTAATAAAATAAACCACCAGATACTTTTTCAAGCTTTACATAGAAAAGGAGTGAACGAAAGATTTTTGTTTTTATTAAAGGAAATGTATAATTCATGTGTAAAGGTTCGAAGTACTTTCTATTATGATTTAATTTTACAAAATAGTTATAGAAATAGGCCTATGATAACTGAATTTTTCAAATGTAATATAGGACCCGGACAGCGAGACAAATCCAGTTTAACAAGTTTTGCTCTCTCTATTGATGAATTAGCACATATGCTTCGCGATAAATGTAGCTATGGGATTTTTATTACACAAGAAATTCATGATATTGTTTGCTTTATGTTGTGCCTTTTGTTTACTGTCTGGAATTTATTTTTCATATGTGTTGGAAATAATATAACCCTTCATGAAAGAATATGTTTAGTATGTTTTAACCAAAATAATGTATCTGCTATTTATTGTGAATTTCATGCCTTTTTTTAATGTTCTAAGTATAATGGCATACAAACTAGTTATCTCTATAATTGTTATTCAAATGGAACAACAATTAATTATTTTTATTCATTGATGAACCCACAAAATGAAGAAACAATTTTTAAATTATCAGTATTGGTATTTCACTTGTTAAAAAGTACCAACTCTTGACTTTCATTTTAATCCTATGTACATGTTATGCAACTACATTCAATACATGTATAAAATATTACATTTACATTGATGTGTATTTTGGGCCGGAGGCCTTTATTTACTTAAAATAAAGTTGAGTTGAGCCTTTTTAGGGACAAAATTGAACAATATGTACTGAATGAATAGCAAACAGTGCAGACCATGATCAGATGGCAATGATGTACTTGCTGGTCAAAGTACTGGTCATAAGGGATAATATAAAATGCTGACAACAGGCTAAGGGTTAAACTGCATATTAGTGGAATGTAGTCAGAACAAATTACACAGAATACACTTTTGATTTATAAACTTCAGCTTTCTTATACATGTTTGTGTATGTACATCTGTGTTTGGTTCTAAATCTTAATCAAAAGGGATTATATTATTTTACATATTGAAGAACAAAATCCTGTAAAAGGTTTCTTCATCAGAGTTGGTAACAACTTTCATATCATTATCATTTACCTACCCTACATGCTGCCTTTTTGTATTAACTTGTTAGTTATATCCAAACAGAATATTTGAACAACATTGTTTCAGCGCTCAGACTGGCATTCTAATGTACATGATTCATGCTTAGAATGCAAAAAAGAAAGATTTTGAAACACTCAGTAAATGAATGTTTTGAAAATTTGACAGTGAAATAAATTTGTATGAAAGCTACAAAAATACAAGCTACAAAAATATTAATGACACTTTGTTGCAATTAAAATGAAATTGTATTGTCTTAATGATATTGGTGTTGTGGTTTTGATTTTGTATATGTCACTTGTATCAATATTAAATTCATATAGAGGAAGAAGAACCAAGTGATGAAGATGATGAACATAATTCAGCTTCACCTTCTACCACCATATGTGAGAAAACAAGGAAAGCTGAATCTAGACCTAGATTTGGTAATATCATGTTTATCATTTCAAAATGTAATTGAATAGTAATTACCACTAATAAATGAACTTAATGGTAACATATATGGGACCAATATGGCTTATGGTCCCCTGCCTTTTTTAAGAAAAAAGGGGCATGTAGAAATAGGCTCTGTCCATCTATCTGATGGGGCTACAGATCTTTAAAGAGATAGGGGACCACCTTACTGTAAACAGAACAAAAGAGAACAATAGAGTTCATTCAGTAACAATAGAATAAGGGGTGGTTGGCCCTGTGTTAAACAATAGAAAATAACAAAAGAATGGCCCCTTATTCCAATACAGCAGTATGTCTGTCTGTCTGACTGTCAATTACACTTTCGTGTCCCCAGTCCATAACTATGTCATTTATCAAAGGAATTGGAAATAACTTGGCACAAATGTTTGTTATAATAAGACGATGTGTCATGCGCAACAACCAGACCACTTCCTCCAAGGCCAAGGTCGCAGTTGCTCTGATTCAAGGTCAACATTGTCTTATTGATGGTATATGGTCCGTACCATAGCTTTCTTATCAATGAACAGATTTTAAATACTTGGCACAAATGTTCACAATAATAAGACAATGAGTCATGCACAAAAACCAGTCGCCAGGTTTGATGATGCACTGATTTTGATCAATTGTTTAAGAGTTTAATGCCCTTTAATTGCAAATCAATGTTTAGAGTACTTTAGTATTTCTAATTCAATGCTAATAATATTTACACAAAATGTATTTGAATACAAGAATTTTAATAATGGGCTAAAACAGACCCAGCTTTAAGAGTAATGTATCCTTGAACTACAAAAAAAAAATATGATGGTCAAAAGCGGCACATATAACCACCCCTTTATTAGTTTAGAGATGCTTCCTGGGATTTTTGTGCATAATAAGTCTTAATGCAATATATAGCAGGAATTCAATGGAATTTCAAGAGTAGTCTCTTTACCAAGGAGAAATCATTTTTGCAGAGTGATGGCCCTTTGATTTTTCTCCTTAATTCCCTGCGGTCTGGAGACCGCAGGGTATTGGTACGCGTTTAACTTTTGAGGCATGGAGGAGCATGTGACCTGTTTTCGGTACATGGAGGAGCATGTGATCTGTAAACCGTATATGATTGGTTAATTGACATTTTCGAAAACTAAATACCGTTCGCCGGTACGTTACGGATTTATCTGTAGGGAATAAGTCCGAATTATACCTAATTGAAAACAAAAAACTATTAAGTGATATTTCTAATTCTCTATAATTTATTTACCGTTTAAGGTGGAAAAACTTGAATGATGTGTTTGAAAATTATCAATGTTTCTTTAATATTTATCTCAAATTTTACAAACAATAAATTGTATAAACTGAAAATCTACAAAATTAATATATTCGTAGTGGCATCTGCCATAATAAATAGAGATATTTTCTGTGTAAACTTGTGTGTTTACTTTATCTAGTTTTTGCCTATTTAATCATTTTCGTAAAAAGAAATAATTGTTCTATGTTACACCTTCACCGGTCTTGAACGGTCACCTGTTTCCAAAGACCTTCTATATTGATTGATTATTGTCAACTATATTCCTGATACAAAAGTTTATTTATCCCCCCCCCCCCCCATAATGTTGAAGATAGTTAAATGGAATATCTTTATATCATTAAAATGTTCACCGCAGGAAACCATTTTACTTGTCTTACTTATAGCATGTAGGTTGTTGATCCTCTGGCAGTGGAACTGATATCATAATTCCTTTTCCTAGTTTAAAGCCAGGTCTGCCTAGATGCTTTGGAATAATTCATTAACTGACACATGTAGTTGCATTTTTTATCATGCCCATAACTTGGTAATGTCCCACCTAGGAACTTAGGAATGTCCCACCTAGGAATTTTAATAAGGATATCTTGTATAAAAAAAAAAAAACACTTTAAGAATGTGTTCAATTAATTTTATATGTCCACAATGATTAACTTTCTTTTTATTTTGTAAAAATAGCACTCAAGGAAGATTTTTGTGTTGTCTTTTAGGCTACATATAGGGGTTACTTTTGTTGGCTGGCGGTGTTGTAGGCTTGTCCGGAGCATAACTTAGTCACTATAAATCAGATTGATTCCAATCTTGGTATGCATGCTTGTTTCAATGACCCTAAGTGCAGTGCACATAAATTAAGAATTGTTACTCTGTACTTCTAAATATTTGAGTTATTGCCCTTTGTTAATTTTCATACAAGGTCACACATCCCACTCACGGAGTTCTAGTTATTTTGGCTACATTGCATTGTAATCAAGTTAGTCTCTATATTGAAGTGATACTCAGGTCAGCAATTTTTACCATCTTGGCACTTTTGTTTACATAACTTTTATCAAATGATAAGATGTGTCACATAAATGGCATTTCTCTGAAATTCAAAGGTAAAGGTCAATGTAAGAGAAAAAAAATCTTCTGCTATAATTCTTTATCTAATGCAGAACTTTTTATCCTGGTTTAGTGTTTGAAATTTGATATAAAAAATAAAATTTTATTTTTTGGGGAAAATTTAAACTCTATTATAGCTGAAAAAGGGTTTTTTGCTAGACTTGATGTAAAAAAAATTTATTAAAAAAGATAAACAGCTTTAAAAGATTCGGGGTTTAAAGTCGGGAAAATGTTTCAAGTAAAAAAATGGATGGACAGATGGATGGATTGCCACTTTTACACTGTTTTGTTTTTGTTTGCATATAGACTTGATATTCTGCTCTTTATCTTTAGGTCTTAGAATGGAGGAATCAGATGCTGATGAAAATGATGATGTGGGTAAAGACCCAGATTGGATGTACAATAAAAGAAAAGATGGTAATTATATGCATGAAGTTTCTAAAAATCTTTAAGATATATGTAAGGCCATCCTTAAAAAATGTTTGTTTGCAGTAACGCAACTGACTCACAAAATTTGCCCCTTCTCAAAATTTTTTTTCATGGTCTGGTTTAAACATTTTTTTTTTTTGAATCAGAAAATTATGCCTTGTGCTTTGTTTTGGTTCTGTTAAAGGTTAATAGAAAAAATTAAGTGTAGGTCTTATTAAATTAGAATTCATTTATCAATTTATTAATTGTTACCAGATTATGAAAGCATATATTGTCCAGCATTTTGAAATTCGATGTTTATTTGGGAGTACAGTTCAATAAAAAAAAAAAGTCGACCTACCTTACCCACCTTGAAAATTCTGGAAACGAACATTTTTTTAAGGTCGACCTTACAACATTTGCAAAAATTTTCTACAGTTAAATAGCTTTTGACAAATTTTATTTATTATTAATCCTATACCCTTGAAAAATTTCTTTCAAAGATGGTCCAAATGTTCACCTCAACAAGGCAATGTGTAGAACCAATGTCACTGCTGATTTAAGGTCAAGGTTTCATTGGTGGTTAAAGGTCATCTATCATACAATTACATGTATTCTATAAATCCAATACCCCTTGATGGGCTTTCTTCTCCTCACATCTCAGTAACTGGTACAGATATAAATTTGAGCCTTGTCAATGCAATATCACAATGTCAAGTTTTCTAACTCTGATTGTTAGTTTGACAAAATTATGCCCCTTTTCTAACCATCAGATTATCACTAATAACTTGTTAAGAGATATGTACAGCATCAGCTAATGTACATGTGTACTAAAATATAATATTTTTAGATTGTCTTTAATGATACTATTACCTATACAATGTTAACTTTCTCTTCATAGAAGGCAAATTCTTATATGTATCTTTTTGCATAGTCACAAGTACCTTTTGCCATATTGGTAGGATTTTAGAATAAGTTTGTGCAATTTTTCAGTACATTAAAGTGATGTGTAGTGTGCAGGACCTTAGTACCTACCAAAAGGTCAAGGTCTTGTGATGAAGACACCAATTCTTACCCCTGTGGCAAGTCCTGTTTACTTTCTTTTTTTTAGCACCAAGCAGTGATGATGCAGATGATGAAAGACAACCCGAGAGAAAAAAGAGAAAAGTTGGTAAGATATCCTGAATGCTCTGGTCTTTCTATTTGAGAAATCAGCCTGCTTACTAATAATTGTATTGTCAATCAAAACTGTTGCCAAAGTATTGAAAATTTATGTCAGCTTGTCACTTTCTGACTTTCTGATCTTTATTAGATAAGGATGATCCCTTGTAAGATTGACTTAGTTTTCCAGATCTTAGTACATGGCAAATTCCGATATTTATTTAATGCTAACCATTGAAATACTAGGTTTTATCAGTGAAATAAAATCCATATCACCCACAGTATATCACCCACACTATGACTGATATAGCCTTGCTGAACTTGTTTTGGCATACATTTTAATTTTTATGATTCCTTAAATTTGTAAATTTTCATAATATTTAATTGCATTGTTTTGTTCTAAATGTCATGTTTCTCAATTCAAAATATTTTAATGTCATTGTTTCGCTATAAGCCTGAATTACTTTTGTTTATACAGCGTTCGCAGAGCAGTTGAATGTCTGACATCATCTTCATTATGTGCATCTGTTTCCTGCAGGTTGTTGAAAACAGTTGAAATTCACTGTTTTCTTCCCTTTCTAGGCATTAAATTAAAAGAAAATTTGTAAGTTTTCGTGAATATGCTATATTTCACACATTGAAGTGAGAAAATATCTACATTGTTATTCGCGCAATGCGCTCGTGAAAATATTGCAATTTTCTCACTTCTCAGTGTAATATAGAGTATATTCACTTAAAACTAACAATTATCCTCTATTTATTTAATGTTAACCAGTGAAATTCTTGGTTTTATTAGTGTGATAAAACCTATATCACCCACAGATAATCACTCACACTGTGACTGATACAGTTTTGCCGAACTTGTTTTGGTGTACAATTTAATTTTCATGATTCAGTAAAGTTGTAGATTTAAAATATAATTGTTGCATTTTGTTCTTATTTCACAGTTCTCTTTTGTATTTGTGTTTCACAGTCATCTTTGGATGTGTGTGTCACAGTCTTCATTTGGATGTGTGTGTCACAGTCTTCATTTGGATGTGTGTGTCACAGTCTTCATTTGGATGTGTGTGTCACAGTCTTCATTTGGATGTGTGTGTCACAGTCTTCATTTGGATGTGTGTGTCACAGTCTTCATTTGGATGTGTGTGTCACAGTCTTCATTTGGATGTGTGTGTCACAGTCTTCATTTGGATTTGTGTGTCACAGATACATTTAGAAATCATCATTTTATTGTTTAGTCCTATCTTATAATACTTTTCAGGTATCAGAATCAAGTGGACACAAAAACAAAAAGAAATAGTGAGAGGTGCCTTTGAACAACACATCCATCTTGGCAAATTACCTGGAAAAACTGAATGTGTAAACCTGATTACACAAAATGTACATCTGAGAAATAGAACCTGGAAAAATATTAAAGACTTTGTAAGGAATCAAACAGTTGTTTTAAACAGGACATTAAGATCAAAGAAAAAATAGTGCAAATGATAAACATAGCCTTGACTAATTCATTGGCTCAACTTTTTTAAGAAGAAAAACATAGAGGTATTGCTACATTCATATCTGTGTTCATGTTGCTGTTGCTGTTTACAAACTAAAATATTGATCATATTTATTTTATTTTTTTTTTGTGAATTGCCTTGTACTTTGATACAAAATCCCTTGGGACAAGACCTGCATGTACAGACCTACTTAAGAATATTTTGACCCACAGTCTTCATATTTGGCATGTAGGTTAGTCATGATTATAAAATGACCCCTATTGATTTTGAGGTCACTGCATGGGTATTGATTTTTAGGTGAATTTGTCAAAGGTCAAGGTCACAGGGGTTTTTACTACAATGTGCTTGCTTGCTCAAATGCTTAAGAATGCTTGTCCACAGTGTATTGATTTTGATGTCAGAGGTCCTTGAGTCTAAACAGCTTGTATGTTTAGTAGCTCAAGAATGCTTTGGTCGGCAGTCTTCATATTTGGCATAGTCTTGGTCATGCCCAATTCCCCCTCACAACAAAGTTGTAAGGAGGACATACTGGAATCAGCTTTTCTATCTCTTAGGTTTTGCAGGTCTGCCCTAAATCAGTTGACACGGTTCTACTCCAAGAAAAAAACATTCCAAATGATGCTCTGAATCATCAAATTTTCATACTACAACCAAAACAATATCCAAGTCTACGTATCATCATTTTGTCTATTCACAAGCACCCGAGAACATCATTGCAGATATTTCTTCCAAGTTTAGACCTGAACTCATTCAAGCCCTTCCTCGAGTAGTTCATACAATTGCTACTGGAGACTTCACATACAATATAACAACAACAAAAACAGGACTTGCAAAGATTTCACCAATCTATTACATTACTATCAATTCCAGCTCCAACCCATCAGAAAGGAGTAATTGAGAATATTTAGGTAACCTTTGATTCAGCAGAAATTTATTCTGATATGATACCAACCTATTTCAGTGACCACTTTGTGCTTGGTGTAGTAATACCAATCCACCATTTATAAAATCTGCAGTTTTCACTTACCTGTTAGTATTAACATTTCATTCTCCAACTATATATTCACATTTGAAGCATATACTTATTTCTCCTATATTCATTATACTACACCCCAAGCAAAGCTGCATGAATGGGAGTGGTGTATTCAAGTCATGCAGGGGCAGTTATTGTTTTGAGGTAAGTAGGTCAAAGGTAAAGGTCACTGATCTTTGTCACTATAAACATGTAGAATACATAACTTAGCAATGCAATGGCTTACTCCCGTCAGATTTGGCAGGGAGATTATCCTTGAGCTCTAAATGACCACTGCTGATTCTGACAAAGCAGTATGTGGGGGTATTCACACTATGACAGTGGCAGTTCTAGTTAATACTTAAACAAACCAGTTCAGCTGGAGCTTAGATATTTGGCAAGAAATGTTCCCAGTTAGACCTGTAAAAATATTGTTCAGGTTATTGCCCTGGAGTCAAAATTGACCTCTGATTTGGATTATTTTTCATGACATATACATAAATTAAATATTATAAAACTATCACTGTGAATATCTACTATTTCTGTCATAAAAAAAAAATTGGCACATGTACACTTTCTTAAAAAGATTCCGTCCTTTTCTTTATTTTTTCAAGATTTAAAAGTTTTCTGCTTTTTTTCTTAACTTTAAAATTATTTTTGTTTATATTGTGATTTATTTATGATATTTATAGATATATTTATTTGTATTGTTGAAAGGAAGCTTAAAATTTGCATTATCAATTGTTAGAAATACAGACCTTTTGGAAAATACTAAGAGGATATTTTTTCGTTTGAGTGAAATATGAAATATATTTTCACGAAACATGATAAAATGCGACATATTTTCACGAGCCGGTACGGCGAGTGAAAATATGTGGCATTTTATCATTTTGAGTGAAAATATATACCATATTTCACGAAAAACAAAAAAATAACCTTTTTATTTAATTTCATTATCAAAGAAAATGGTAACGAAACCCCTTGCTTGCTACCAACTGTAATTGTACAGAGCGCAGTAATTTATGCGTAAGCACGCGCTGTTTGGCGCTACATTGTGACGTCATGTAAACAACTCTTTAAACGTCTGTACAGCGTTAATTACTGCATAAAAGATATTGGTGTTCGGATTAATTTTCTTAGTTAGACCATTTTCTATCATTCTAGATAGTTTTCAAAATAAAATTCAAGAAAAAGTTGTTTTGTATGTATCAGATTTTTCAAACAAAATGGCGAAAGAAGTCCCTGGAAATAAATATGAGTTTTGACTCCGCCCACCTTCATATTTATATCTCATATTTATTTTAAAAAAATATGAAATATATTTGACTGATATTAAGAGGATATTTTTTCGTTTGCGTGAAATATGGAATATATTTTCACGAAACATGATAAAATGCCACATATTTTCACGAGCCGGTACGGCGAGTGAAAATATGAGGCATTCTATCATGTTGAGTGAAAATATATACCATATTTCACGAAAAACGAAAAAATAACCTTTTTATTTAATTTCATTATCAAAGAAAATGGTAACGAATCCCCTTACTTGCTACGTAACTGCAATTGTACAGCGCGCAGTTAATTTATGCGTAAGCACGCGCTGTTTGGCGCTACATTGTGACGTCATGTAAAACAACTCTTTAAACGTCTGTACAGCGTTAATTACTGAATTAAAGATATTGGTGTTCGGATTAATTTTCTTAGTTAGACCATTTTCTATCATGCTAGATAGTTTTCAAAACAATATTCAAGAAAAAGTTGTTTTGTATTCATCAGATTTTTCAAACAAAACGGCGAAAGAAGTCCCTTAAAATAAATATGAGTTTTGACTCCGCCCACTTTCATATTTATATTTCATATTTATTTTTAAAAAATATGAAATATATTTGACTGATATAGCACCATATTTCATGGGTAAAATTAAATAAACTGTTAAATTGGTCCATGGTAAATTTACTATGTGAAATATAGTTATGACTATCAATGATTTGCTTGTGATTAAAATTAAGATTGTTTAAAGTGGATTGATCTACAATGAGCACATGTTTTTGTTTTGCTTTTTCAGTAGCAAAAAAAACCACTAGAAATGTATTGTTATGCCCCCATTTCGAAGAAAAGGGGGTATATTGCTTTGCACTTGTCGGTCCGTCGGTCTGTCGGTCCGTCGGTCCGTCGGTCCGTAGACCAAATGGTTTCCGAGTGATAACTAAAGAACCCTTAGGCCTAGGAACTTCAAACTTGGTATGGTGATTGGTCATGACCAGTAGATGACCCCTATTGATTTTGGGGTCAAGGGGTCAAAGGTCAAGGTCACATTGACCTTGTAAGCAAAAACGGTTTCCGATCAATAACTAAAGAACCTTAAGGCCTAGGAACTTCAATCTTGGTATGGTGATTGGTCATGATCAGTAGATGACCCCTATTGATTCTGGGGTCAAGGGGTCAAAGGTCAAGGTCACATTGACCTTGTAAGCAAAAACGGTTTCTGATCAATAACTAAAGAACTTTAAGGCCTAGGAACTTCAAACTTGGTATGGTGATTGGTCATGATCAGTAGATGACCCCTATTGATTTTGGGGTCAAGGGGTCAAAGGTCAAGGTCACATTGACTTTGTAAGCAAAAACGGTTTCCGATCAATAACTAAAGAACTTTAAGGCCTAGGAACTTCAAACTTGGTATGGTGATTGGTCATGATCAGTAGATGACCCCTATTGATTTTGGGGTCAAGGGGTCCAAGGTCAAGGTCACATTGACCTCTTGGATAAAAACGGTTTCTGATCAATAACGAAAGAACCCTTAGGCCTAGGAACTTCAAACTTGATATGGTGATTGGTCATGATCAGTAGATGACCCCTTTTGATTTTGGGGTCAAGGGGTCAAAGGTCAAGGTCACATTGACCTTGTAGGTAAAAACTGTTTCCGATCAATTAACTAAAACGCTTAGGCCTAGGAACTTCAAACTTTGTATGATGATTAGTTGTGACCAGCAGATGACCCCTATTGGGTTTTGGGTCAAGGGGTCAAAGGTTAAGGTCATGACCAGTAGATACTTGATAACCCTTATTAATTGTTTGATCACTCAGGGTCAGAAGTCATGCATAATAACCTTATCACATGACTAATTGGCTGCTGATAGGGGGCATACATGTTTTACAAACATATCTTGTTTGGATATTCTTATAAAATATTGCTAGATGTAAATGAAATACAAAGTGATTCAGTATGAACATTTATTAAATGTATGTTAAATTTTATTTAAAAATACAAAAATGAAATTGCAGTATTTTTATGGTTAAATTGTATTGCAGTGATTACTTTAACTACTTATATCTGAATTGTACAGTATATAGATGTTTAACAAAGAATACATGGCCTTGAGGGCAATATGCAAGTTAACAGACTGATTGGTCAGACTGAGGAAGGTATATGGCCTGAAGCGGCGCAGCTGAGGGACATATACCTTCCGAGGTCTGACCAACCAGTCCGTAAACTTGCATTTTGCGCGAAAGGCCATGTTTTAGTTGTTATATTATACCGAATCTAAATCCTTTCATCGCTTTTGTTGCTGACATTTTTACTATAATTTACTTTCAAATAATAATTTATTTGTTCAGTGTGTGAAATATTTCAACCCTGGTCAGAATTACTATTATTATATTCAAGCGATTCAGCAAAAAAAAAATCATGCCCTTCTTTTGTTATTCAATTTCTGTTAATCAAATTAAACATTTAAAAAAATGCCGAATTTAAAGATTTAATATGACGTCATCCAGTCCATTTAAGAATTATGGACCAGCCCCGGTCTATATGCGGTTTATGAACCGGATGACGTCATAATATATATAGAAGGGCGTATGCAAATGAGGTATAATATTTATGTATATGACATGCATTTTTAAAAAGATTACTTTGTTTTCATAATAATAGGTTAATTTTTCAAACAAGGTTTTAACGAAGAATGACTATGTTAATTATCACACATGGTTGTACGTAAATTAGAATATGTTCGGAACAAAATATTCCCATACTTTTATTGATTATACTCGATGTCAACAAACAGGTATAGGCTATGTTTTAGGTATTTTGTATCTATTTTGATCGTAATATTAAGAGAAATTCGATCATAACACATCAAAATTATAGCTTTATGCACTTTAAGGGTAGCAATACTTTGATAGTTGTTTGTTTCATATGAATACTCATTTTATGATGTTCCTGAGTGAAATAGAATTATCGTCATTGAGTGAATATCTTTAAAAATAAAATAAATATGCATTCATACAATTACAGTTTTCTTATTTTTATGTGTTCTTGTGTTTGTATGTTTAAAAACTCTTTCAGCAAGAAAATGACAGTTACAAAGCTGTACCAAAACATTTGTTTGGATGAGCTGACATATTGAACCCCTGGGTTTAACTGTTAATTAGTTACGGCCCTTAACTTCAAATTTTGTGTACTATACTTATTTAATGGACAGATAAGTTCCCAATCTTTAAGCAAATTTTACTTGTGACGAAGGGGCGTCCGTGGCCGAGTGGTTAAGGTCGTTCACTTTAAATCACTTGCCTCTCACCACTGGGTTCGAGCCGCGTCAGCGACTCCGGATTTTTCAAGTGAGAAAGCTATCCAGCTAGCTTACGGGACGTCGGTGGTTCTACTCGAGTGCTTTTCTGTCCCTGAAATACTACACAAATGGGGCATCTGAGGTTTTCCTCCACCATTAAAGCTAGAAAGTCGCCATATGACAACTGTGTTGGCGTGACGTTAAACCCACACAAAAATTGTGATGAAATTTTGTACACCTGAGTTATAGTATTTTTAATATATTGGATCAGTAACACCAAACTTAGGCCCTTGGGCAAATCTTTGTGATAGTTGTGAAATATGGAAATATCAATGTCCTTCAGGCAAAGTCGAACAATATAATGGCAGATAAATACATGTCTTTCTAAACAAGGGGGATACCTCTAGCTGGGACGATGTCTGTCAAACCTCAAATTTTGGGCGTAATATCTTTGCTATATTCATTAACTACCTTAGTCGCTCTAGACACTTAGATCATGGCCATTAAGTATCAAAAATGGCCAAATTGCCATGTCCTTTTTGTAAGTAAAGCAATTTTAAATCGTCCTTATAAAATCTGTGGACAAAAGTTATGTGTATACCTATTTGCGAGTTAATTTCTATCCTGATCGCACAGCACATTTATATCAGGGCGAACCAATGTTTAATACATTCAGTCATATATAATTAATATTGCTAGCCTGGATCAAGGAACGCACACACATCAATAGACTGGATAAATTGTCTCATGACTGTATGGTATCCTGCAAGATATTGTGTTTGGTATTTTCTGAGTCCAACAAATAATGCCTATGTATTCTTGCGAGCACCTGTCGTAATAGTCGAACAGAATTAACGACTGACGGATATGATACGTGTGAATATGCTCCACAAGATTCTAAATAGACCTTTGAAATTTGTTTTATGAATAGAAAACTGGTTGGAGTATCATTATATATTGGTATGTTTTTGAAAAAATCTTTGGTGTGAAATCCGGTTTGTAAATTAATTTTCTTAAACACTGCATTAAAAACACCACCCTCTAAACCAAAAAGTGGCGAATTTAGATTCGAACGCCAGAACCAAATCAGACGAATGAATGGTAGGCATAACTTCTTTTAAGTGAATTTCTTTTAGATACTATGATGTGATTGACCGTCATTAGACATTTTATTGCCTCTATGTGCGTTTAAGTACTGAAA